AAAGCTGAAAGTCGAGACTGAAAGCTGCAAGGGAGATGGGCCCAAGGTTCCCCAGGCCCCCCTTACTTCCTGGAAGCCTGGGGGTGGGGCTGGGGCTGGGCTCTCTGGGAGAGTGTGGGATCCTGCAGGTCTGGGGAGACCTTTCGACTGGCTAGGGGGTGTCTTGGCCTGCTCTGCTGAGGATGGTGCTGCCCCAGGGGGCCGGCCTGAGGTGGCCTTGGTTTCCCACGAAGTTCCTTCATGTGTCTACACATCTTTTCGTTGTCCGTGTCTCTGCCCCGTGCATGCCTTCAGGGGCATGTGTCTCAGCACATGTGTCTCTCTGATTGCGTGTCTCCACATGTGTGTTTGCACGAGTGTTCCCACAGGTGCTTGGCACTGCAGGTGCCCCTCCACACACACTTGGGGTTTCTGAGTTTACACCTGTCCTTTTCACCCTGTGTATCTCTGTGGCTGTGCATGTTTCTAGGTGTCGAGTATTCAGGGTGAGGCCAGGCCCAACACTCACACACAGGGAGGGGTCAGGCTTACAGACAGTACCACCCCAGGGAGCGCGTGTGTGTGTGTGTGTGTGTGTGTGTACGCGCGCGCCTGCATGTGCATGGAGATGCCAAGAATCTGAGTAAACAAGGGTGAGAAGGTCATGCTGACAGACGGTGCTGCCCACCCTGAGACCCTGCAAGGCGGCTCCATCTGTCAGCTTTCTGGTGTAGCCCCCTCCTCCAGCGCAGACTCCGCCTCAGGCATCTCAGGCGGAGCTCAACAAAGAGACCTGTGTGTGCTTTGTAGGGGGCCTCTGCAGCCTCCCTCCCCCAGTCATTGCAGCCAACCTAAGCTAATCCGCTGTCCACCCCCACCCTAGTCTCATCTCTCAGGACCCCAACATTTTCCTTAGCTTTGTCAGACCCACCATTCACGCCCGCCCACAGCCTTTACTCAGGCAGCCCCTCCCTTCCCCAGAAGCGTCCGCTGCCTCCCCTGCGGTGTTCCCTGTTCTTAATCTCCTTCCTCCTCCAGGAAGCCTCCCAGGCAGCAGGGCGGGGGCTGCGGAGTTGAACTGATCCACTCCACCGCTACTGTGGGGCGTCAGGGGCCCTGCCCCTTCTGATCCTCAGGCTCTCAACACCCAGTGCACACACACACACACCCTGTCACCTTACTCTGCCCGGTGTGGTCAGCAGGGGGGATTCCTTTCCTGACGTTCCTCCCTCTGCAGTGCCCAAACCAGCAGTTTGGAGCAAGAGCCATTCACGTACATATGCGCACCCCCCACAGATACACGGGTCTGTGGGGCAGACCTCGGGAGAATGTGTGCACCCTATATGTGCAAGTGTGCATGCAGCTGGAATCTACAAGCAGCTGTAGGGACTTGGGCTCCCGGTACCTCCAAAGTACCCAAGGGCTCCTCTTTCCATCCCTGTTCAGAAGGGGGAGGACCTCAGCCCACAGGGGCAGACACTGCAGATGCCCAGGCGGTGAGGCTGCAGGTGTGTGGGGACCTCTCCTCGGTTCAGTGCCGTGCTGGGGGTGGAGGAAGCCACGTTTGGGTTGAGCAGAAAGGATGTCCAGGAGGGAGGGTCCCCTGGAGTTGGGAAGTGGGGGTCCTGGGAGGGGTTGCGGTGGCTCCACCCAGGTGGGGAGGGAGGGGCGGAAGCTGTGCACTGTATGGACACTGCACCGGCAGCCCTTCCACAGCAGCGCCCTCCGCCGTTGCTATGGTTACCGGGTGGCCTGGAGGGGGGAGGGGCCCTTCTTCCCCTCCCGCTCTGCAGGAGAGGTTTTTGAACAGACTCGGGCATGAAGGGGACATTTGGATGTTGGAGCCTGGATGCGTCGCCACTGCCCACGAGTAGCCACGTGTGGGGAGAGTCCGTTTCGTTTTGCAGTAAATAAAAATGCCCAGGCTTGTGTGCAAGGGGGTTGCGGTGGAGTGGCTGAGCCCTAGATGGTGGCAGAGGGTGTGGTTTGGGGGTGCTGAGCCAACCTTGGGGAGGTGAGCTAGAACGTAGTGCGTTACCCCAGGGGTACCTACACCTCTGCTAGCCCTGCCCTGGCCCAGCCCTGCCAGGCACTGGATCCCACCACCTGCCCCACCTCCTACCAAACTGTGACCTTGGCAGGTTTCTCCATCTCTCTAAGCCATTTGTTTGTATACCTCAGGATTTTAGAAAATAATAAATCATTTTGTAAAGCATTTTAACTCAGTACCTATAAGGTAGTAAAGGCTCTATTAATACAACCTTTTCTCCCTTATATCTGGGCCTCAGTTTTCCTAATTGTTGATGGGTTTGGAGTGATGGTGTAACGGCTGCCCTGATCTTCAGCCTGAGCGATTCTCCTGCCTGCCCCTCACCACAGGACCTAGCTCCTCTGCTACCTGGGCGGCTGGGGTGTAGGGGATAAATGTGCCCGTCAGGGGCTGGGTCGGTGTACAACAGCACGCCCAGTGCTCAGCTTGTCCAGACACATGGTGGGCAGCAGTAACCCTGCTGTCCTTGGCTATGCATGAATGTGCTGGAGGTGCCCAGGTAAGCAGAGAAGGTAGAGACAGCAGTGGTCACTCCTGGGGGCTGGAGCCTCCTGTGAGGCACGCTTCAGTCCTGCACCTCGGGAGTTCTGTCTGGAAGCCTCCTTGGCACAAGGGAAGGGCTTTTGGATCCTGCTGCTTTATGGACACTCTTCACACGTGCTGGTTTTAGGCTCTGGCAGCCAGTGCCTGCGGGATGAACTGAGCCAAGGATGGAGCCATTGAGGGCGCGATCATTGAGGAAGGAAAATTAATTGTCCTTCATTTGGCATAAATCCCAAAGACCTTCCTTGGGTTAGGAATTCAGAGTAGATTCTTGGGACATGGGGCTATAGATGATTGTACTTCTTCCAGTACCTTCCTGGTGGAGGTGGGGTCAGCTGACTCCTGGACCCTATCTCTGCAGGCCCTGTCCCCTCTGTCAGCCCTCCCCTCCATTGCTCAGGAGGGCTTAGCAGGTAGGATTGAGGTCTGGGAGGACCTGGGCTGGCGTCCTGGTGGGCTAGGATGGCTCTGGCAGTCCTGAGGGCCCCCAGCTGCTAGAGAGAACAGGGAGGGTGGGAGGGGGACCCTGAGCGGTGGGAGGGCTTCTGTGAAAGTCAGTAGTGGCAGAGCCAAAGGAAGCTGTTCCCCCGCTTGGTGCAGCCCAAGTCCTGCTTCATTTCCATCCTCTCTTTTCTGTTTAACATTTTCCTTTTAAAAATCAGAGCTGAAAGTTAGGACTCTGTGAGTTCATATTCGTAGCCAAAGAGATGCCTGGGTCACACCTGGAATTTATAGGGCTCCGGGACTGCCAGGTGCCGGGAGAGGCTGGGAGGTGAGGCCATGCTGGCAGTCCTGCTCCCCACCCCAGGCCCATCTCCTGATGGGACCACAGTCCCTGGGTGATGCCCTTGGCATCTGGAGCCTTGGCAGAGGATCCCTGGGGTCTGGCGCCCGCTAGAGGGATCTGGCCTCTGCCCACTAGGGCTCCTCCAGCTTCCTCTCTTGCCTGCCCTCATCCCCAGTCAGTCTCACGGGGTCTCAGCGTTTTCAGGCAGGACCGCGCTGGCATCCTTTACTTTTCTCCCGAGGATGCCATGTGCCTTTTCCCTGGCACAGGAGCCTGACCTCAGGAAATGTCCCCACACACCCACTTGTGCTTGGCCTGTGGGAGGGAGGTGCACAGCCTTGCTAGTCTCCTGGTCTCTCCCACCGTGGACCCCACTCCCCCACCAGGAGGCTGACGATGGACAGCGTTCCCCTTCTCCCACTGGGCATGCCTGGCATCCACCTGGTGGAGCGGCTCTGGTGAGCTGGCACACAGTCTGTGATTTCCTCTTGGGGGAGGGCCTCTCGGCAGCCCAGTGCGGAACGGGGCCCAGGCCCTGGTCTTGGTACCTGTCGGCCCCAGTGGCTCAGCCCTTGCTGGTTATAGTCACTGGGTGCAGATTCTTTGTCAGACACTCTCCAGCACCTCATGTGTATGATCAGATGTCCTCATGATGGCTTTACAAGGTGGGCACCTGAACCCCGTTTTCAGAAACGGAGGCATGGAAAGGATTTGTCACACGTCCAGGTGACAGCAGGTTAGTGGTGGAGGTGGGAGCTCTACTTGGTTTACACGGGCCTGGACCCTGCTTCCAACCCCTTGTGCTTCCGAGGCTGGAGAGTGGGCAGCCTTGCCCCCTGACCCTCAGGGCTGACGCAGGAGTCCGTGTGCAGGGGGCGGGGGCTGCTGCTGATGTCTGTTCCTGGGCACCTGTGGAAGTGACGCCTGTGAGCTGGAAGGCAGCAGCTAGGGAGGCGTTTTGCCCCATCCCCCGCCCGCCTCAGCTTTTGGTGTCCTTGGAGCTTTTTTATCTTCTTGGCCTCCACCTGCTCAGACATGGCCCCCGGGTCAGGACTGAGGAGGGGGGTCAGGGTCAAGGCTGCAGTAGGGAATGGGTCAGTCAGGATCGGGGGTTGAGGGTGGCTCACTGGTAGGGCAGGGTGTGTTCCGAGCCAGGGCCAGAACCCAGGCTGTGACGTGGGCTCTGCCGTGCGGTGGAGCTGAATGCTGGATGCAGGAAATGGCGGGAGCAGGCACTGGGTGGGTGCTGGACAGCGCAGGGAGCCTTCCGGCGAGTGTGGCTGTGGATGCCCCTGCGTCTGCGTCTGCCCCATCCAGCCTTGCGTCCATGGAGCACTTTCTGCTGTGGCCAGGAGAGCATTCACCCTGGTTTCTCCCAGGGCCCAGAGAGCTAAGTGCCGACGTCTTCAGTCTGAGGCTTTGCTTCTCAGACCTGGAACCCGACTTCCTGACAGGGCAGGGCGGTCCCCCCTGCAGCCCCCGGCCCTGTGAAGGGTAAGCTGGGCAGTGGGACTCAGGACTCTGCTTGGAAGTCGGGGTTCAGAGAGAGAAGAATCTTGAGGATCCCAGCCAACCTGGGAGTTGGGAAGCTGCCCACAGAGGGGTTCCTAGCCCTAACACGCCTACCTGCTCTGTCTGCAGAGGACCAGCTGCCCTCTGGATTCCCCTCCATCGACATGGGGCCTCAGCTGAAGGTGGTGGAGAAAGCGCGCACGGCCACCATGCTGTGCGCGGCAGGCGGGAATCCGGACCCGGAGATCTCTTGGTTCAAGGACTTCCTCCCTGTGGATCCCACCACAAGCAACGGTCGCATCAAGCAGCTGCGTTCAGGTGAGCAGAGGGCTGCCCAGACGTGAGGAAAGGTGTGGGACCTGAACCCAGCACAGCCTTCCTGCTTGGGCCTGGGGGCCACAGGAGGCCTCACCCTCCAGGGCTGAACAGAGGGCACCCAGTGGGTGGGCTGGATCTTGCTGTAGGCTCTCCTGGCCCAGGAAGAGAACTTGGCAGTGAGGACTAGTCATTGGTGATTGTTTTACTGTCCTGGGATTGTCACTCAGACTCAGGCCTGCTCTGCTCCTCACAGGAAGAGGGTTGTGCCCAGCCTGGTGTTGGGCTTGCATAGTTGCTCTGTGGGTGTTCATCCTCCACCTTCCCTGCAGCCTGGCCCAAGAGGGGGCCTGGATTGTGCTTCTCTTTGCTTCTCCAGATGGTAAGGAAAGAGGCCAAAGATGCCTGATTTATCAGGCTTCAAAAGGCTGGACCTCAGAGGCTGGAGCCAGGGGGGGTTACTGCCGTCCCTGAGCCACCAGGGCCACCTGTCTCCCGGGGATGTCTCAGTAGAGCCAGCTTGGAGCCCTGGGAGCAAGGATACCATCTTGACCAGGCGGGAGGTGTCGCCCCATTGATCGATCTGCCGGCGAGGCTCCCGCCAGCATAATTGATTTCGTTTTTGTGGGAACGGAGCAGGCGGGAAAGGAGGTTCAGGACCAGTTCAGCTGCATTCAGTATCTGCCGCCAGCATGGCTGGACCGATATGCCTTCGTCCAAAGTCTTCCTGGTTGCTGCGGGACCGGGGCTCAGGCAGGACGGCCGGGCGGCCCGAGCCCCTGCTCCCCTCAGCTGTGATGTCAAACTGTAAAGGAGGACGGGACCGCTCCTTTCAGGCCCTGCCACTCCGGAGGCAGCCTTGCCACTCCCCACGGTGCCCAGGGAGGAGGGAGAGATGATCTGCCCAGCAGGGGCAGGATTCCGGCCCTAGCCATGGCCGCCTGAGACAGCCTATGAAGTGTTAGCTCATTTAATTTAATTAAAACTCAACAAGATGGAGGCAGCTGTAGTGCAGTTAATTAAAACAGCCATAATCAAGGCAGGAAACAGTCCGGCAGCATTTGTAGCCGTTCCCCAGCGCTGCCCAGCGGCCGGCGCAGTTCGGCTCCTCTACGTTTCCCTGCGGTTCCCCAGGCGGGCTCCCCAGGCAGCCAGATGGTCCTCCCCACGGGTCTGGCCTCCACCCGGTGGCAGGGACTGTCTGTGGCAGCAGTTCTGGGAAGGCACGCCGTCTCGCGCGTTTGTTCATCAAGTATTTATGTAGTGCCTGCTGTGTGCCAGGCCCTGTGCCACCCATTCAGTGCCCTGTGCGCTGGCTCCCGCCCAGTACTCCACCCAGTGCTGCTCGGGCCTCAGGCTCCTTGTCCTCTCAGCAGCAGTCTGCACCCTCCCTCCTTCCCAACCGCTCCCTCCCAGGTCTCCCTGGCTGTTCTCTGTCTGCCCTCAGGCCCCTTCCTCTGCTTGTTCCTCCAGCTGGGGAGCTTGCGAGCCTTTCCCTGGGCTGCTCACCCATTCCTGTGGCATCCGGTACCCTCTCCACTCCCACAACTCCCAGATCTGTCTCCAACCCAAACATCTCGAGCCTGTGCTCTAGACCAAAAAATGTGTCTGCTTTCTGGGTGTCAGTCACCCTGACCGTGGTGAGTGATGACTTTCTCCCGCTGACCCTCTTCTGTGAGTGGCAGCCTCCCAACCTGAAGCCCTGACTCCTCCTCCCGTAGGAACTTCCAAGTCCTTTTGGTTTGGTGGCTTCATGACTCTCAGGTGGGTCCCCTTGTCTCCTTTCACTGCCTGCCATGGCTATGTCCTGGGTCACCAAACACTGCTGAATCTATCCTCCAGCAGCTGTCAGTTTCCTGCGTGTGTCCTTCTGTGCTCTGACACTCATTGCCTCTGTGGTCAGGTGCACGCCTGTGAACAAGGCGCACGGACTGGACTGTTCTCTGTCTCCCCCTGTGCACACCTCCAGCTTTATCTCATTGGGTCCCCGCTGGCTCTGTGGCCTCAGTTAAGTCAACTTCTTTGAGTTTCCATTTTCTCATCTTTAAAAAGAAGGTGCAGCCCGGCCCATGTGGCACATAGACTGAGAGGTCCCGGTTTGATTCCTGGTCAGGGCACATGCCTAGGTTGCGGGCTCGATCCCCAGTAGGGGGCGTGCAGGAGGCAGCAGATTGATGTTTCTCTCTCTCTCTGAAAAAAATCAATAAAAACATGTTTTAATAAATAAATCAATAAAAAAGGAGATGCAGCCCAGCTGGTGTGGCTCAGTGGCTGAGTGTCAACCCATGGACCAACAGGTCACCGGTTCAGTTACTGGTCAGGGCACATGCCCAGGTTGTGGGCTCGATCCCCAGCAGGGGGCATGCAGGAGGCGGCCAGTGGATGTTGCTGTTTCTCTCTCATCGATGTTTCTATCTCTCTCTCTCCCTCTCCCTTTCTCTCTCTCTAAAATCAGTTTTAAAAACCATGTTTTAAAAGGAGTTGCCGTGAGCACTAAGTGAGACAGTGGCAGCCGAGAGCTTTCGTTCACTGCCTGGCATGTGGCGAGGGCTCTGGGAACTGGGCTCTTCTTCCCATGTGCACCGAGATCCTCCTCCCTGACCCCACCCTGACCCCATCCTGGCCCCATCCTGGCCCTCTGCTCACATTTGCCAGAATGTGAAGCCCCGCCCATCTCTGCCTAAAGCCTCCTCCTGTAGGACTCTTCCCACCTTACCACCTGGCTCCAGCTCTGCTCGCTGAGGCTGGGCACCCCACGGCCTGGGTCCGGCTCCCTCTCCGAGGTCCCTCCCAGTGCCCCGCTCAAGCCCAGCTATAGGACAGGTCTCTGGGCCCTTATTGACGAATTATTTCGTGAACTTGATTTTTGGACCCTGTCCCTACAGACTGATGTTCACGCCTGCTTCCCAGGTCCAGGAAAGACCTCTTTGTTAGACCTTTTCTGCCTCCTGGCAGCTGGGACTTGAGGGTTGTAGGCCCCAAATCCAGCTGCAAGGATGGAACCAGATGGCACCTGAGGGGACTCAATCATCCCCGCTCTGGGTGGAGGTGACGGAAGGGCCTCTCCCCCATCACTGCCTGGTCTTGGCCCCAGCCCCCGATCCCAGTAGCTGCTGCCACTGTCCTGGAGCTGTTCCGTGCACGTTTACAAGGACATCCCTTCACAGAGGAATCGGCCCCAGCACTCGGCTGTTTACAGGGACTTTCACGGTTTACGCATCACCGACAGTTTACAAAACGCTTTCCTGCCTTTGGTTGCACTGGATTCTCCTGCAACCCTGAGAAGTAGGACAGGCTGTGATTATCATGCCCACTTCACAGCTGAGTGAAGGGAGTCACCTGGGGTCACCAGTGGAGGTGCAGGGCCAGGGAGCTCCCCTGTGAGGTCCCCCAGGAGCCTGTAGTATCACATATGCAGAACCTGGGGCCTGGGGAATGGCGGGGCCCTGCTAGGGCTGCAGAGCTCCACACTCCCATTCGTCCAGGCCTCAGGCCCCCTGACCGGTGCCCAGCACTCAGGCATCTTCGGGCCGAGCCACAGCACATGTCACCAGGGTTTGGCCTTATAGCAGTGCTGTGTAGGAGGGTGGTGGTGGTGTGTACCCGGGTGTGAGCTCTGCTCAGCAGACGCCTTCCTCACTGACGCCGTGTGACCTGCTTGGGCCCAGGAAGAAGGGGACAGACTCAGGGAGAGTGCAGATCGGGTCAGGTGCAGGCAGCGCCGCTGGAGCAGTGAGTAGGGACTTGCCTCCCAAATTGGGTTCTGAGCCACCGATGAGTCCTGAGTGAAAGTGTGGGCCAGGTGCTCTGCCCGCCTGGACAGAGCCCCAAGGGGACCTCCCGTGCTCCACTCATCCTGGTGGCCTGAGTGTGTGAGCTGCCATCCTGTCGTGGTCTGTGCAGCAAGGACAATGCAGCACAGCTGTCACCTGCTTACCCAGAGAGCGGTCTCCTTCCACACACCCCCCCCCCCCGACACCTGCGCCGAGACTGCGGGACCTCGAGCAGCGATGCCAGCATCTGGCTGCCAGAGGAAGCCCGCTGACCCCAGTGGATGGGACCCAGAGGGAAGTGCAGGACCGTTTCTGGAGTGGGGCTGAGACCTGCAGCTCCCCACTCTGCTGGCTAACCCCAGCTCTGATGGGAAGAGCCTGTCCCCACACTCTGCCCTGCCATCCTCCGGGGCTGCCAGGAGGGTCGTTTCCCTTCGGCCCGAGCCCACTGGCACCTCTCGCGGGCAATGCTGACTCCCAGGCTCCCCCCAGTCTCTCACAGCCACCTTGTGAAATGGGAAAGGCAGATTCTTACTTCAGTTTGGTGGGAAAATGGCTATTCCGAGATGCCCAGAGACTCATCACACAGCCGGTTAGGTTTTACTGTTTTTTAATTTAAATTTTTTTAATTGATTTGAAAGAGAGAGAGAGAAACATTGACCAAGAATCAAACCTGCAACCTTTTGGTGTATGGGATGGTGCTCCAACCAACCGAGCCACGTGGCCAGGGCGCAGGTTAGGTTTTAGAAGAGCTGAGGCCAGAATCTAGGGGATCCCGCACTGGCCCATTTGCACGGCACCCCCACCTCCAGGTCAGGCTGGGACTGCAGGGGTCGGTCGGCGGTTGTCAGCCGTTTGGTCTCAGGGCCTCTGCTTGTAAATATCCGAAGACCTGAAAGAGCTTTTGTTTGTGTGGGTTTTATCTGTCAGTATTTACCATATTAGATATTAAGACTGAGAGACCTTAAGTATTTATTACTCTACTTTCAGGTACTGTAAAACCCCATCACATATAATCTAATCTTCTAAAACACAACACTTAGTGAGAAAAGAACAGCATTGTTTTGCACTCTTACAAGTCCTTTGAAATTTGGGGCATACTAGAAGATGGTGGGGTTCTCATTGGCTTCCGCATTCTGTCTGTCGCTGTCCCGCCCGTGGAGTCTCTGGAGAACTGCACTGTGTCTGAGAGCAAGAGTGACGAAGGCACATAATTGCTTAGTAATCTGCCACTTATTTTGAGCTTGTGGACCCTCTGAAAGGGTCTTGGGAACACTAAAGGTCTCTGGACTGAGTTCGGAGGGTCCCTGTGTAATGATGGTTCTTTCTAGACAGTCTCTGCACCCCTCACACATACACCCCAGGTCCCAACAGCTGCCTTTGCCTTCTCTCTAGCCTCTGTCTGCAGGAGGGCCATGAGCCAGACAAACCAGGTCAGTTCCTGCCACTTCACTTAAAAACTATGTGACCTTGGGCTTTGGGAAGGTCACTCAGTGTTTCTCAGCCCGTTTCCTCATTCCTACATGGAGATAGATCATTCCTCCCAGGTGGGTGATGGATGCTCATTCCTCCTGGGCGAGCGTCATCAGGTCCGTGAGGTAGTGACCAGCTTTATCTCTTGGCACACTTTCCTCCCCTGGAAGTGGACAGAGGGGAGCAGGGGAGACAGCTCGGGGCCTGAGCACAGCCTCAGGGACTGCCCCCATTGGGAAGGAGCCTGCTCAGACCTCACACTAGCCCTGTTCCAGGCATTTGGAGGGTGAGCTCGTGGTCCTCTCAGCTGCTGACCCCCAGGATTATGAAGCACTAAACAGACAAGGGCTGGGACTGGCCTCTGGCTCTCGCCAGGCAGGTTGGGGAGAAGCTCAGTAGTCACTGTTTTCAACAAGGTTGAGTGGGCTTTGCGGGGTCTGCCACTAGGTTGTGAGTGAGTTCAGTCTCGTCTTGCAGCAGGGTGGGCTGGTGTGTTAGTTCAGGGAGACCTGTGCTAGGGGTCACCTGTGGAGAGCCCTCCTTTTGCCCTTCTGTCTGCTTAAATGCCCTGGTTTGTTTTGGTAAGTGCTATGTTTTGAAATCTACCCACATGTGGATTTGGTGGGCCTGTGGGGTGGGGTTGCTACCTCTTTTCTTCACCTCCCCGTCCATTGGCTTCAGCCTGTGGGGTCTGCAGGAGCCCCGACTCACTGTCCTGATGCCCATCAGCCCCAGCCCTGCTGACCCCGCCCCTCTCTCCCCTCCTCAGAGCAGTGCCAGTGAGCTGGGGGACACAGCTTCACCCACACTCTGCCCGGTGCTTGCACACACATTACCTGCGTCAGCTGACTCAGGCCTCAGTTTCCCCGTGTACTTTAGGCCCTTTCTCGTGTTTTATTTTATCTAACTTGGCTTTTTGTGGCTTTCCTTCCTTTTGTACTAATGCTTCTCTCTGATCTTATTTGCATTCAAATTACCTCGCCAGGTGGTTCACCAATTAGAGGTAAGAATGCTGTCCGTGCATCTCGCCACGCCTCGCCACTGCCGTCACCACCACTCCATCCCGTCTCCCGTCCAGTCCGTCACCTCCCCCATTCCCATCCTGACCTCTCCAGCCTCATCTCCAGCTCTGGCCCCCTCAGCACCACCGGCCACCACACACATCCACACTCGGTCATTCCCTCCTGTGGACTCATCCATTGCAAGTCTGGACTGTGGAGATACCCAGCTGAGCCCCGCCGTGGGGGCGGCAAGCCCTACTGCCCAGGCTCCTAGGCCAGCCCCTAGGAGGGACCTGTGGGCTCTTGCAGTGAAGCCCAGCCTGGTCCTCAAGGCTGGCCAGAGGAGACTCTTCCTGTGAGGTGGGGGAGCATGACTTGGCCTTGCCTTACCTCTCAGGAACCTCCTTTGTCTTGGGTCCGTCAGTTATTAACATCTGGCCCTGTGGTTAAATGAGGACTGTCTCAGTGTCTTAGCCCAGCAGACACTAGGAGGAACATGCAGTGAAGACTTCAGTGTAGATGGTGGGATGACAATGAGAAGTCCAGGGTCCTGTGTGACGAGATCCCCTGACCTGTTAACCCCTGCAGCCTGGGGGTTCAAAGCCAGACTCTGGACTCAAAGATTCAGGCTCAGGTGTGACTCACCATCTCTGTTACCTTCAGAAAATTGATTCGTCTCTCAGAAGTTTGTTTCCTCCTCTTTAAATTGGGGCCAAGGCCCACCTCATGGGACTGTGAGATCGAGAAGGGAAGGATTTGGCGGGGTCTGGCACAGAGCAGACACCCTGTACAGTGGTTGCTTCTGCACTGGATTCACTCACATCGTTTTCTCCCCGCCTCTCGTGTCCCTGGGCACATCTAGCCCCTCAGAATTCAGGGCCAGGGTGGTCTCGGGAAGACGTGTCTGGGAAGAGCAGCTGCCATCTTGTGGAGGTTGGTTCCAGATTTGGGGGTTTCTGTGTACAAACAGGCTCAGGGTCTATGTTGGGTCCCCTGCCCAGTCCTGGCTCAGCACAGGGGAGCCTCCTCTCCCGGCAGGGATCTCACCAAGCACTACTTCCTGTTCCTGTCTGTGGCACCAGCCCCCAGCTGAGCTAAGCTTAGAGCAGACCCCAGCCAGCGGTGTGACTACCACCTGTTTGAATTAACATGTTCTGTAACAGCGTCCATCCATCCCATGAACATGACCTTTTGGTGCCTGCTAGGCTGCTCTAGCAGAAGAAGGATATGTGGCATGTGCCCCGGGCCCTCACGCTCCCTGATGCCCAGTGAAGCAGAACCACAGAGCAGGCCAGTCCTTTGCCTGCATCAAGGCTGAGCCTGGGGAGCCCCTTACCCTCTCTCCAGCTTGCAAGCCCCTGGGTGTTCACAGCCCCTCCTGCTGCCCTGGGTGTGGGTGGTGAGGGAGGGATGTCAGGCAGCAAAGGGGCTGCAGCTTGGACCTCGGCAGTCCTCTGGGGCCCGGGCTGTGAGGGCGTGGCTTGCAACTTTGCCTGTGGCTTTTGTCTAGACCAGTCAGGTGGGGTCTGCAGGTTCTGTCTGTGTCCTGTGTGGGTGTGACCGTCAACCGGCCTGGGCCCTGGGCGGGGCGGGCTGTTAGGGCCACTCAGGCTGTCCTGTGCAGGCAGTGGTTTTCTGTCAGGCTGTCTTGTGGGGGTAGTAGCTGTCCATTGGACTGTCCTATGTGGCTGTGATTATCTGTCGGCTGTTCCAGGGCAGCAGTGTTGCCTGTGCCTCGGGCTGTCAGTCACAGACAGCTTGCCCGGTGCACCCTCACAAGCAGTTTTTTCAGGGGTTTGTTGCCAGGATGGGGGGAGTAGCCAAGTCATGTGGTGTCGCTCCCCCACCTGGACCTACCAGGACTGGTCCCAAGCCCAAGTTTCCTCCACCCTCTGTGAGGGTCCTTTTCAGCCCCTTCCCCCTCCAAGCCTGGCTCCTGTCTGTCCGTCTGCGGCCAGAGCAGCCCCTCAGGGCGCCTGCCCGAGTGGGAGCGGCAGCCTCCATTAGCTTCCTGAATTATTCAGGAGCCGTGGTGGGTCGAAGCACTTTATCGGGACCAGGCTGAGGAGAGGAGCCGGAATGGGTAGGGCCGGCGGCGTGGGGGTGGAGTCGGAGGGGAGACTGGGTGCTGTGAGCAGAGGCTGCTGGACACTGGTTTCCCCAGGGCAAGCCCCTTCCTTCCTGGCGTGGTGGTGGGTGGCAGATTCGCAGGCTTTTGCCCGATGAGGGCATTGCATGCTTGCATATCCGAGGCCAGCAGGTCTGTGGGCTGGACCCACTCGTGCCTGGCTCTGCGTGGCCTGGTATAGCCATGAGCATTAATGGGAGTGCTCACTGGCAAACAGGCTCCAGTACTGGCCATGGTGTGGAGTTGGGGGCTGGGATAGAGCCTGTGACCGAGCCAATAGGCCCAGCTGTGCTCTGGGCTGGGGCAGGATTGTGCTCCATAGTGTAGCCCTTGGTTCCAGCCAGGAGGCCACTGGGGTAGTCAGGAAGAGCTTCCTGGAGGCAACTCTGACTGTGGGGTGTGGCCCCAATGTCTGCAACATCTGGTCAACACAAGCCACCAAAGCTGTCGAGACTTCCCTGCTCCCTGTGTTCCAGGCCTGAACTTGGTCTTTATGTCCCCACAGGTGCCTTGCAGATTGAGAGCAGCGAGGAGTCGGACCAAGGCAAGTACGAGTGTGTGGCGACCAACTCTGCAGGCACACGCTACTCGGCCCCCGCCAACCTCTATGTGCGAGGTAAGGACTCGGGCAGTGCAGTGCCTGGCCCTGTCTCCAAGCAGCCGCGCTGCCCCTGCTGGGCGTGGACGCATGGGTGTGCCATGGGCCTCATCTCCTCCTTCCCACTTCTTTCTGCAGCAGTCATAGCAACAGCAGCAGCTCCCACTGAGCCAGCTCCTAATGTCCACCACTACTCTGCCTTTCTTCCCTGCAGGCCCTTTGGGAAGCAGCCGCTTTTGGGAGTGTTTGTATTTCTTATAGGTCCTGCCACACGGGCCCAGAGCCCCATGGGAATCCAGAGCTTTCCAAGCTTGCGCATGCGCCCGCGCGTGTGTGTAAATGAGCAGGCACACACATTTGTGTGTAAACATGTACACACCTGCCTGGTCTTCCTAGAGTCTGTCCTGCCCCCACCTTCCAGGCAAGGTGTGCCTACCCTCTGGCCAGGTCTGCCTGGGACCTGACTGCAGGGAAAGCCAGCTGTACGGTCACCAAGCTGGACACTTGTAGGGGTCAGGCTGAGGCAGCCCTGTGGGTGAGCACCTCCTGTGTTCCAGGTGTTCCTCGCTGGGACCAAGTGGGTTGTGCACTTGCACAGGTCAGGATACCCAGCAGAGAGGACTGTTTGGAGTGTCCAGTCTCTGCTGTGCTCACAGCCCAAGGGCGACCAAAGCTGGCCACATACTGCTTCCTCTGAACACACTGAGTCCGGTGTGCATGGTGCCCAAGCGGGGCCCTGGGAGCTGCTCCAACCCCCCACTGTCCCCTCACTTAGCCGTCCTGCACAGATGGGCATCATTAAAAGTGAAACCACCTCCCCGGGGACGTGTGAAGGAAAGTGGATGCGGCTTCCTCACGGTGATGATTTCATCACACTAAGTGCTCAGTGTAGCTTCACAAGGGGTAAGGCACAGGGTGGGGCAGTGGCAGTGTCCTGTCCCTCTTTGGGGCCACATGGTCAGGCAGGGCAAAGAGTGAGGCCGTCAGCTGTGTGCTGATTGAGGGGCTGCTCCGTGTCAGGGCACAGGTCACTGAGAGGCTACAGGCGGCCAGCCCATTCGGTGGTGGGCATGTCATGCTTAGAGACAATGGACAGTGCTTCACTGGAGTTGGGGGTGTGGGGTAGGAGGTCCGCACTGGCCCCCTTGCCAGGCGTCCTGCTCCTTGAGGCTCACCTGAGCCATCCAGGGCTGGTCTTGAGGAACGGCATCAGGACAGGGAGGCCAGGAGCACAGAGCCACCCAGAGGGCCACGATGGGTGCTGTAAATTGCACAGCCTTCTCTCCACCTGCTCCAGACAGCTTCTGACAGGCATAGGGGCCTGGCAAGTCCCCTCTGAGACAGGCACCTGGAAAGACCCTTCCTTGTCAAAGACCTATCTCCTCCCACCCGGGCCGTTCCAAATGCTGGGTGGTCCCGACAACACCCTTCTTCCAGAAGCCATAGGGTTGAGAGAGGGCTCAGAGGTCCTGGGCCCCCGCAAGAGGGCCGTATGGGCACATGTCTTGGGGTAGAGCCTTCTGGAGGCCGTACCGAGGCGGGAGAAGGCCCGGACCCGAGGTGGATGGACCCTGCGCTGTCGCCTTGGCCGGGCAGCTTTCTCTGAAGTCCCCATCACACTGGCCTCAGCCCTGAGGCAGGACAGTGGGTTTCTTCGGAGATAATTGGAGCTTGACTAAAGCTGGCAGCACTGACCAGGGAGCTCTGGCCCTCCAGCCCTTGGAGCCTCCCCGTCTGTGGAGCCCCCACTGTCCATACATGGTGGACGCAGGCAGGACCCTGCCACGGCCCATCCTCCATCCCCACAGCCGGCCTTCCTGAATTGCCTCTTTCTGCTCCCAGCAGTGCTGCGGGCCCCTCAGCCCGGCTCCTCTGGGGCTGTTTGTGCTGTATTAGCCGCTGGCTCTGCATCCCATGCCCCAGCGCTGGCCGGCCTGCTGGGCTATGCCCACTCACCCCACCTCCCAGTTACCCTCAGGCCGGAGGGAGCCCCTGCTGGGCACCAGCTCTCAGGACCTGAGCCTCAGCATGCGGATCAGTGTGGACTCTAGCCCAGGGTTCTCCACCTTGGCACTGCTTGACACTTCAGGCTGGATAACCTCTGTGGTGTGGGGCTGTCCTGTGCACGGTAGTAGGATGTTCAGCAGCCTTCCTGGCCCATTACATGCACGAATACCGCCTGGTCGTGATAATTCACAGTGTCTCCAGACCTTGCCCAGGTTGCCTGGGGAATCCCGCAGTTGAGAACTGTTCTGAATGGATGGCTTTCCCCGGGCAGTTGTCTCCATCCATCTCTGACTCTTGTCCACGAAGCTCTAGGCCATGTCTGCTCCGCTGGTTTGGCTTCAGTGTCTGCCTCACATCCTGCCTCTTGTCCCCCAGACGCGCAAGGCTCCCACTCCCTCTCTGAGGCCCCGCGGTTGCTGCATCTAATGTGACAGCAAGTGTAAGGCTCCCGGCATGGCGCCAGGCACGCAGGAAGTGCTTGGCAGCCAGTAGCCACTGCTGCCGTCAGGATAGCGCTGCGGGGGGATGGACGCCTCATCCAGTTACACTGTCTTTGCTCACAGTTGCCTGCAGCTCCACCCACGGTCTAGCAGGCCCAGGCACGCCTGGTGGACCAGCCTCTCACCGTCCCACTCCCCCAGTGACTCACTCTCTCCTTCCATCCACAGCGTCTCTCTCTTCCAGCTCTCGGGACGCACAGCTGCCAGGGGCCAAGGCCAGGCCACACTCTCTGCAGAGCCTGCCCTACCTGCCCCTTTCTCCCTTCTCTGCAGAGAGCTGGCCACTGGGCCACGGCTGTCTCTAATCGGGGTGATGTCTTCACAGCCTTTCTCCCCACAGGTGCCCAGACCTGCTCCTCACCCTGGGGTGCTGTGCAGTATGGGGCTTCCTCAAGGTGGCGGGGTGCTAGTGGGTCATGTGCCTGGTGGGTTTGTGGGCTGGGTGGGCCCTGACCCCAGAGCCCAGCTCTCTGGGTCTGTCTGAGCCGTGGGGTGTGCGTGAGGCATGGGGGCCTGCCTGTGCCCCACTTCCACCCCTCCCTGTCCTCCCTGGTGTCCCAGCACCTACCGGGGGACTCAGCCCTGTCCACTGTGTCCTCCATGAGTCCTGAGTCTTTTGTGAGCGGCGTGGTCCGCGCGCACCTGTGTGCACGTGCGTGTGCGTGGGGCACAAGAGTCTTGTCTCGTTTCCGTGCTGTGGGCAGATGAAGGTTGGCCTGTTTTTACTCTCTCTGTGTTTCTCCTTGTCTTTTTTTTATTCCCTCCTCATCCTCATCGCACTCTGCCATCAACCCAAACTCTCATCTCTCAGATCAGCGAGAAGGTTGGTCCTTTTCACTTCTTACCCATCTACAGTTCGCCCGTCGATGGGATGCTCCCGTCAGTAGGGACCAGCGGGCACGGCCAACTCCCTTGGGCTCGCTCCAGCCAGGCCTGCCCTCCAGGCAGGCTCTGCTGTCTGTTGATTGGGCTGGCAGGCGGGCAGGACCAGGGGTGGGTGGGCAGGTCCCCCTGCCCTGCATGTTCCTGCTGCTCGGGTCCCTGAGAAACCTTGTATCTGCATGTTCCTTTAGCTGGGCTCCCCTGCAGGGCCGGGCAGGCATGGTGCATGGCACGAAGCTAACTTCACCTTTGTGCCCAGGCCAGGCCAGCCCTCTGTTCCAGGTGGAGTTCAGGTGTGGTTGTGGGAGCTGTAAGAGCCACGATGCATTGTGTGTACATGTGCGGCCGTCCACAGCCTCCATCGCCTAAACACATTTGCTCGAGCTCAGCTGAAACCACTGGGAAGACAGAGGGAAAGGGCTTATCTAGAGTGAGCTCCCCCCTCAAGATCCTGCAGCACAGGACAAAAGTCCCACAGTGTGTGCCTTGTCCTGGCCCCCAGCAAGGCATGTCCGTGGCACAGGATAGGTGGTGTCATCATGGCTCACTGAGGGTCTCTCCTACACTCTTATCTTTTCCCTCTCTGGCTAGATCCACCTGCCCCAGGCCCCGCTCCCTGCCCAAGTCCTCTAGACAGCTCACATTTCCGCAGCCCCATGCTGGGTGCTGGGCATTCAGGCTCAAGGAGCCCACTCCTTCAGCGGTCCGCTGCAACCTAATGAGGGCCACTTGGGAGCTCTGAAGCGGCCCTGTCCCAGCCACAGGTTGGAAATGCCTTCCTGGAGACTCCACTCCAGCCCTTCCAGAGCAGACTGACCCGGGGCTCTGTTCCCAGCCCACCCGCAGGGGCTAGCGGTCTTTCTGTGTCCCCTGGTCTGAGTAGTCGAGGAGGCTCACCCGTCCACAAGGCTTTGGGCTGAGCCCCAGGGAGCTGAGCTGGGCCACCTGGTCCCTCTGTGTCATCTCTGTGGCTTGAGTTTCCTCCATGAGGGAGAAGGAGCCAATGGGGAGGAGGGCTGCAGCCTCAGCTCAGATATCAGCCCTGAGCATCCGTCCATACGCACTCCTGAGCTCTGGGGCATTTTGGTTACACTATTTCGCTGACTGGGTGGATTTGCCCATGTGGTCAGAAAACAGCCATCAGCAGAGACGGTGCAGCCTGCAGCTGCGTCCCTCTACACCCCTTCCCGCCACCCTCCTGGTCCCTTGCCCCCCCCCCCAGTGGTCCCACCAAAAATAAGCACGTACACAAATATTTAACGGGAAGGCAGAAATGAGTTTCTAAATATTCCGGGGGGATTTGCTGGGCTGGTAATTTGTTTGGCGCTGATAATTACATCTTACATTTTTCCAGCTTTACTTAAAACAGTGCGCCGAGCGTGCCGGCATTTAATTACTGCTCTGCGGCAGCCACAAGGTTATTTATTAAAGAGTTATTTTATCTTGATACAGTGGATGCTGCCCCTTATCCCCTCCTTAATGTTGTGTTATTTTTATCAGAGAAATTTCCGCAAGCGAACGCAGGTTGCGGGGCAGCCCCTCCCAGTCGGGCTGTCACTCCACTGCGTGCCGTGCCTGCGGGCGCTGCTCTGCCCTGTGATAGGGGTTGTCAGCGCCAATAATTAGACATAAAAGTTACAGCTAGAATATAATCCAGAAATGGCGGGGCCCTGTTTGGGAATTGTCTAAAACCTGTCAGCACTCAGGATGCACAGGGAACGGGGAGACCGGCATTGTTGGAGCCAAGGTGAGATGCTGGGCGCGTTTTCCCAGCTCTGGTCCTTCCTTCCCTGCTGTCGCTTCTGCCGTGGACTGAGTCCCAGGGCGTCCCATCCACTGGAGGCCTTGTGTCTGTGACAGGATGACCACGGAGGGGCTGCTGCTGTGCGGCGCCAGCCACTCCTGGCTGTAGGGTGGGGAGGGTCGTCGGGCAGGTCCGGGATGCGTGGCCCCAAGGGCAGTGGCGTCCTGTCTCTCGCCTCTGTTGCCGTGTGGCTGAAGCCAGTGTCCTTGTGAAAGCGTAAGGGTCACACACACGGGAGTCTCTGGGCTGGAGGCTCTTGCCTGGTGCTGGGAATGACAAGTGGAACAGAACACGTTGTCCTCTGGGGACTTTTTGGAGTCAAGTCCAGTCAACTTTCTACACTGCTTAGATCGGAACCCAGGATTTATTGATCAAAAACCTGCTGCTTCTTTCTGGGGCTCTTGGTTCTTATGTTCAGGGACCTGACCAGGCCCCAAAATCCTGCCACTCACTGGGGTCAAGCTTGCAGCCGAGACCTCTCACCTGACAGGCTGTCTAAGTCCCATCCATGTACTACCTGGAGAGTATCTTACCCGAAACTAAGAAGAGTCAGAAGCTTCTCTCTGGAGTCACAGGTCTCTTCAGGCCTGTCAGCCAGGGTTTAAACGGGCGTGAGCTTTTCATCAGACAGACCTACTTAGTACGTGGATAAACTCGGGCATGTCACTTAAAGTATCAGTCTTCAGCTAGTTCCCTTGTCTGTGAGTGGAAGGTGGTAGCCATGGAAACCTTAGCACAGAGTAGGTGCTCAAGAGTGGTTTCCTTGGTTCTGGCTGGGTAGCTCAATTAGTTAGAGCATTGTCCTCATGTGCCAAGGTTGTGGGTTCGATCCCTGGTCAGGGCACATACGAGAATCGACTAGTGGACAAACACATAAATAAGTGGTACAACACACTGAAGTTAGTCTCTCTCTTTCTCTCTCAAACCAATAAATAAAAAAATTTGAAAAGAGTGGTTTCCCTTCATGCCGTGAATGAGGAGGAGGTGGGGCAGCCGCTGGATGAGAACAGAGCAGAGACTTGGTCAGTTCAAGCTGTTCCCTGTTCCTTCTGCTCCAGCCGGGCTGTGCTAGGCCCGGTCTGTGCCTGTGCCCCCCTGGGCGACCCCTCAGGCCTGGCTCCGAGGGCAGGGGTGCCCGCATCACCAGGCTGCCAGTGCGCCTTTCCATGCCTCCTGACTTCACCTTCGTGCCCCTTGGGGGTGGTGCTCAAAGGGGGCTCTTTGTTGTGGCTTCCTCTTGCCAGCCACGCTCCCGGTCCACCTGTTCTTTGCCACACAGAACTTCTCTGCCTCCCATGCGCTGTTGTCATTCGGTGTAGACACCCAGCTTTAGGACAGATGACAGAAACCCACCTGTATCGGCTTTATCGAAACAAGGAACCTCTTCTGTTACCAAACTGAAAAATGTAGAAGTAGCTTGGTGTCGAGCAGGGCTGGATCCAGGTGTTTAAACAGTTTGGGAGAGCATTTGTCTGCCCTTGTCTCCACTCCGCTCCCTTCAGTCAGCTGGTCCTCTCGTGGGAAAGGGGGCTCCAGTCCCTCTAAGGTTAGCCACCACCGTAGAGAAAGTCAGTCGCTCTTGTAATCATTTTTTGCAGAAGTCTAAAGGCTGTATCTTATGAGCTAGATATGTCTGTGAGACATGCTGGGACCCCAGTGAGCAGGGGACACAGAGATAAGGGACCAAGTCTATGACAGTGGTCATTCCTGGCCTGCTCAGGGGACTGTTTCAGTTCTGTCTGGGGGGCCTCGGGGGAGTGGTGTCGATGGAATGGAGGCAGGAGCTGAGGAGTCATTGGGGAACCAGCCAGGAGGTTTTTGTTTTTTTTCTTTTCATTTTTTGTTCAGATAGAGTGGGAGGGAGAGAAAGAGAGAGAAACATTAACATGAAAGGGACACACCGAGTGGTTGCCACCCGCACGACCCAACCAGGGCCAGGGAGAAACTGTAACCGAGGTACATGCCCTTAGCGGGAACCGAACCCCGGTCTCTCTGGACTGCGGGCCGACGCTCTAACTGCTGAGCCAAACTGGCCAGGGCAGGGCAGGAGTTTTTTAGCAGGGAAGCGATGTGAGCAGATTGGTGCCAGCGGTTTGTGGAGGGCCAGTATGGGAGAGGGCTTGGGGGATGGCAAGGTAGAGGGACAGTGTAGGAACCTGAGGGGGCAATCAGGAGAAAGATGGTGGCTTAGACTTTGGTGGTGCCTGTTGCCATGGATTTGGAGAGAAGTTAGTTGGTCTGAAAGATACTTTCAGTAGTGCATTAATTAACAGAACATGGTGATTTGCTGGACATCTAGTCTCTGGGCTGAGGAGGAGGTCAGAGGTTGGACCGAGTGGTCTCTGCGTGTGCTTCAGCTCCGAGTCTGTGGCTGGGCTGTGCCAGCAGCACAGCCTGACACCAATCGTGGAGGTGCCCCTGACGGGCCCACGGTCTTTGCATGCCCGGGCTCCCCAGCCAGGTCCTCTGAGACCCGCACTCTCAGTGGTGCCCTCTGGTCACTTAGTCTTGCTGCCTGCCTTCTCCGGCCCTGTCTGCAGGGGTGCCCACGAAGAACACACCCCAGCCTCTGCCCACCAGCTGCATGACCTGTCTGCATGCCAAGCATGCCTGCCCATGGCTAGGTCCTGCTTGCCTTCCCTCTCTCTGCATGTTCCGAATGTCTGTGCCAAGCTTGCAACTTTGAGGGGGGCGGGGGTCACTGGGCTGCACCTTGGACTGAGAAACTCAGAACAGCTTCTGATCTGGGGAGCCCAAGGCCGGAGGTTGTGCCAGGCACAGCCATCCTCCCCTTGAGATCCTTGTTCATTGGCGTGGAAAGCCGTGTGCTCGGCGCCCTCATCATGTTACTGCCATCGTCATGCCCATCCTGCCCGTGGACCGCGTCCCTGGCCCGACCCCACCATTTGCCCCTGCCCAGTCCCTCCTGAGGGGCGGCCCCTCCTCTTCAGTTCCGAGGCTGTGCCTTGAGCATGGCTGAGGTCCTGGCAGGTGGTCATGCCCCTGCCCTCATCTCTTCCCATTGGGCTTGGAGGTAGGGGCAGTGACTCCACAGAAGGTGGCTGTGCCACTCCCGGGCTGACCCTCTGCCCAGCCCCAGCTGTGCTCCCAGGACCCTCTGCCTTAGGGTGCCTGGACTTCTCTCACCAGTGCCCCAGCTAGCCCTTCTAGAGACCCTTGGTGGGGGTGGGGGTCAGGAGCAGGTAGGGGTGGGCACTGGAAGGTGACCTGGGTTGTGGCCCTGAGTAGGCTTGGCCTGTGCACAGAGTCCCTGTATGACCCTCAGTTTCTTAGGCTGTAAAATGGGAGCTTGGTTGTGGAATCTCTCGTGTTCCAAACAGTCCCTGAGTGCAGGGGCTGCTTCTAGCTGCAAGCTGGGGGGGAGGTGGTGGTAAGCCAGGGCCCCGGGACTCCACCCCTCCTGACTCTGAGGTGGGTTTGGCTCTGACAAGAGGGGCTTCCTGGATGAGGGGCCCCTGCCCTTCCATCCTCCAGCATCTCCTGCCCAGCCTGTGAGTGCCTCTCTCCCTCCTCCCGCAGTGCGCCGCGTGGCTCCTCGTTTCTCCATCCCTCCCACCAGCCAGGAGGTGATGCCGGGCGGCAGCGTGAACCTGACGTGCGTCGCCGTGGGTGCCCCCATGCCCTACGTGAAGTGGATGGTGGGGGCCGAGGAACTGACCAAGGAGGACGAGATGCCGGTTGGCCGCAACGTGCTGGAGCTCAGCAATGTCGTGCGTTCCGCCAACTACACCTGCGTGGCCATCTCCTCGCTGGGTATGATTGAGGCCACGGCCCAGGTCACAGTGAAAGGTGAGTGCCGTGGGTCTGCCTTGTCCCGGAGCATGGCAGGAGTCTGCGCATGGCTGGTGTGGGGCCAGCCAGCCCTGGCTCTCTCCCGGGAGCATTAGGCCCGGGGCACTCCTGGCCCTCGGCAGAGGGAGGGATTTCTGTTGTTAATAGTCTCAGTAACACGTACTGAGTCCTGGGGCAGACGCAGTGCTGGGAGCGCAGGTTACATTATTCAGTCTGTGTCCCCCTGGGAGGCAGATACTCTCATCATCCCCCTTTTACAAGGGAGGGGACTGAGATGCAGGGTCACACAGAAGTAATAGCGGAGCAGGGACTTGAATCCTGGGGGTTTGATTCCACGGCTCACCCCTCTAACCACTACATAGCACCAGAACCTTGGGTTTCTCAGCCTCCTGGCAAGAAGGATGTGAAAGAAAATAAATAGTCGCCGAGGGGAATGTGGGCTCCCAGGAGCCCTGGGATAGGTGCACAGGGATATAACGACTCCTGAGGACTCCCTGGCTTCCACTCTGCCTCCCTGATCCATCCTCCTCCCTTCTGCGACTTGAGTGATCCTTTTAACATGTAAAGCAGGATGCTGTCACTCCCTTTAAAGATCGGGAGAAAGCTTTCCAGTGTCTGCCCATGGCTTTTCGGATAGACCAGCATCCTCACTGAGGCCTCCTCACCAGCCCCGGCCTGTGCTGGCTCCATCTCGTCTCCAGGTCCTAGCTCTGTGAGACTTCCCTGAGCGCCCCATCTAAGGAGACCCCCTGGCTTCCCCCCATCTCGCACCTGCTTTCTGCTGTCCTTGTGCGTGCTGGAATCGTGATCACTGTGGATTACTTCTCTCACACTGGACTTGAAGCTCCACGAAGGCAAGGGCCCGTCTGTGTGACACGTGTCCTTGGCCCTAGCGCAGTGCCTGGCACTCAGTAATTATTTGCAGAATGTTGACTGGACCTGGAACTCCTCTCCTTTTAGTTTCAGCCACGTCACTGCGTTGGGGGAGCCCACAGCCCCATCACCGTTTCTAAAACCCAGGGCTGCTCCCTGAGGAAGTACCTTGCCCCTCCTAGCGTGTTGCACACCTGCACCGATGGGGGCCCAGGCGAGCTGCAGAAGCGGCTCCCGCCCACCCGCCTGTGTGTCTCCCTGGCACGGGTCCCAGGCAGGCAATGTTATATCTGGGGCTGATTGTTCGAGGAGTCACGGGGCTGATGTGAGGATCCAGGGAGTCCCAGGAGTGACTTGACTAGACATTAGATGACCCAAGGCCCCGGGGGAACTGACAGACACCACCCCCTCAGAGGTGACCACAGATTTCCAGGCCCTTCTTCAAGGTGGGTTGTGGGGGTCAGCCACTCTGGTTAGATGCCCTGAGCCTCCCACTTTGTCCCCAGCTTTGCCGAAGCCTCCAATTGACCTTGTGGTGACCGAGACGACCGCCACCAGCGTCACCCTAACCTGGGACTCTGGGAACTCAGAGCCTGTGTCCTACTATGGCATTCAGTACCGTGCGTCGGGCACTGAAGGCCCCTTCCAGGAGGTGGATGGTGTGGCCACCACTCGCTACAGCATTGGCGGCCTCAGCCCTTTCTCGGAGTATGCCTTCCGTGTGCTGGCTGTGAACAGCATTGGGCGAGGGCCCCCCAGTGAGGCCGTGCGGGCGCGGACCGGGGAGCAGGCGCCCTCCAGCCCGCCGCGCCGCGTGCAGGCACGCATGCTGAGTGCCAGCACCATGCTGGTGCAGTGGGAGCCACCGGAGGAGCCCAACGGCCTCGTGCGGGGCTACCGCGTCTACTACACTCCCGATTCCCGCCGCCCCCTGAGTGCCTGGCATAAGCACAACACAGACGCGGGGCTCCTCACCACTGTGGGCAGCCTGCTGCCAGGCATCACCTACAGCCTGCGCGTGCTGGCCTTCACCGCCGTGGGCGACGGCCCCCACAGCCCCACCATCCAGGTCAAGACACAGCAGGGAGGTAGGTGGGGGCAGCGTGCTGGCTGGACAGCCCTGGGAGAGCTGGGCGGGGGCAAGGCTGTGGCAGTGCTTCCTTCCTAGGCTGTACTTGGGGGTTCAGGGAGGACGAGGGCCTGTATTCCACACGTGCATGGTCACCTGGAAAGCAGGATAGGGGTGCGGTGGTCAGGATCTACCTTCCCTGCCAACTTCCCCTGGGTGCCCCTGCCCTTGGGGGGGTCAGTGAGGCTGACGGCGCCTGGCATGGGGTGTTGCAGTGCCTGCCCAGCCCGCGGACTTCCAGGCCGAGGCAGAGTCCGACACCAGGGTTCAGCTCTCGTGGCTGCTGCCCCCGCAGGAGCGGATCATCAAGTATGAGCTGGTGTACTGGGCAGCAGAGGATGAAGGCCAGCAGGTGGGCACCCAGCAAGAGCAGGAGGAGGGAGAAGGGCTTCTGGTCCCTAAGGGTTGGTGGGCTTCCCCTGGTAGGACTCTAGATTTATGCAGCTCCTGGGTTCTCCTTGAGGGGGGGCTCGGGGCTCATGCAGCCTTTATGTTTTCTGGTCTTTGTCACCCTGTGCTGGGGGCAGTCACTAGGTCTGTCCTTGAGTCTCCTGGACTCTGGCTCACGTGACACTGGGAGAGCCCTGACGCTCCCTGGGGCTGTGTTCCTGGGCCCCTGTGTCCCTTGTGTGGTCCAGGTGGCCACGTGGCATGGAGCCAACGCCAGAGCCGCAGTGGCTCCAGAGGGGTCAGCTGCATCCCATGTCGGGGAACAGCCTCTGAGTGACCTTTGAGGTCGGAGCAGTCAGTGAGTACCTCCTGCTCTTCCAGCACAAGGTGACCTTCGATCCTACCTCCTCCTACACCCTAGAGGACTTGAAGCCCGACACGCTGTACCACTTCCAGCTGGCTGCCCGCTCTGAGATGGGGGTGGGCGTCTTCACCCCTACCGTTGAGGCCCGCACGGCACAGTCCAGTAAGTGTCTTCTGAGACTACTGCGTGCGGCAGCTGGGCTGGGACACACACACACACACTCCCTCCCCCTCCGCCAGGCAGGCGGTCAGGTCAGCTGGGCCCCAGGTCTGGACTCGGAGGGGCAGGTAAGTGCCCTCTAGTCTGCAACCAGGCAGCTTCCACACTCCCTGCTCCCTGCCTGACTTCTGTCCCCACCAGCCCCTCACCCCACCCAGGTAAGTTCTGTGTCTGTGACTCATCTCCTTCCTCCACCACCTCTGTGCTGGTCACACTCGCTGACTAGGCCATCCTCAGTGGTGGGACCACTACACGTGCTACGCCCCAGACCTGCTTTGGCAGCCATCTCCCTCCCTGTGTCCCCACGTGTCATCTCCCTGTCACCTGTATTCCCTCCCTCCATGAGTGTGTGTGAACCATGCAGTCACACCAAGCCACCTGCACACCGGACACACCTGGAGGAGCGAGACCATGTGTCTGTACTGCCACCACGTGGGGCCGTCCGCGAGGCTCTGTGGTCACTGGCATTGTGTATTACTGTGCTCCTGCACGTGTGAGACTGACTCCGTGAGCGTGTGCGTTACCACGTCTGACCACCTGACCCTGCGGCTCCTGCAGGTGTATCAGTGAAGCTCTGGGCCCCTGTGATTGGGTCTGTAAAGCTGTTCTTAGGATTGGTTCCCAGCAAGTGTATCTCTGGGTATTTGACCTGTGACCCTGACTGTGGGTCTCTGCAGCTCCCCGGACTACAGACCACGAGACCACGGCTGTCTGGTCATGTGGCCACAGCAAGCCACTGTCCACGAGGCTGTGTGTGCCAAAAGTGCTGTGGGTGTGTGGCATAGTGGGATTATGGCATTGAGACATGACACACGTGTGATGACCTTAACGCCCTGCAGTGTCAGCTGGCCCACTTCTCAGCGACTGTAAATGCCGTGGTCGCAGGAAGCCATGTGTGGCCTGATGTTCATGAATTCATTCCACAAGCACCTCCTGCGCTCCTGTTGGCGCCAGGCCCCATACACAGTGCAGGGCTGGCAGCACGACCCTGGCTAGCCTCTGCTTGTGGGAATCCTAGGCTGGTGGGGCAGACAGCCTGTAAACCCACAATTATCCAAATGAGCTTTTAATTACATTTGTGTAAAGTGCCGAGGAGGAGACAGACAGTGGAGAGATTGGGCGGGAACCTCATCTGGTCTGAGGGCTTGGGAAGGGCTCCCTGCGGTGACAGAGGCCTCAGGCAGGGGGTCCAGCAGGTGCCAAGGCCCTGAAGGAGGAAGGTGCTCGGTTGTGGCTGGAGCAGCCGCCAGACCACAGGGACAGAGGACAGGTGGGCGGGCTGACTAGCTGCTGCGTGCAGGTGCCTGGGGCTGCCCGACAGGACGCCAGAGACCAGCAAGGAGGCTCTGCGGCAGCCTGGGCGAAAGACCAGTTCAGGTGAGGCGGTGCTGGTGGACGTGAGGAGATGAGAGCTGTCTGAGCTGCTGACCGGCCAGGACTTGGCAGTGGGTGAGGGAGAGGAGAACGTCAGGTGAACCCTGTGGTTCCGATGCATAGACCTGGGAGGAAGCTGGTGGCTCTCCTGAGGACAGGAAGTGGGACCAAAGCAGGCACCCGAGCTGAAGATGCTGTTCTCCGTCCGCATGGTGGTGCTTGGCAGGCTGCCAGAACACCGGGCTGGAGGTGGGGTCCCCCGCGGAGGGTGGCCAGAGGTAGGAGGAGGTCCGAGAGGGGTGTTGCAGGTTGGAAGAAGAGAGTTTCAAGAAGTAGACCAGGTGTTAAGGCTGGGAGGTCAGGGCCGGAGGAACGGGTCTGGACAAGAGTGTTGGTGGCATGAGGGACAGAAGCTGATTGGCTTGCACGAGGCATGGTGGGAGGAAGGAAGGAGGGGACCACTAGCTGGTGGGATGTGGGGCTGAGGATGGGCTTTGTCTTTTCAGATGGGGAGGTCCTGAGCATATTTAAATGCTGCTGGGAAGGAAAAGAAGGGCAATGGGAGGCTCGGGAGGGGAAGAGCCAAGCACGGGTGATGGGAGTGATTGGCATGGACGGGAAGGTGCAGACCTCCCTTCTGGGGAGGAAAGGAGAGTGGGTGCGGATGCAGGTCCATTGGTGGGTTCAGTAGAAGAGATGGAGGGAGCTGCTTTGGGAAAGTGGTGTTCTCTGGAAAGGAGGAAACCAAGTCAAGTGCTGAGGAAGGAGGGGTGGGAGCTGGAGGTCTGCAGAGCACGGAGGAGCTGAAACTGTTGTGTGTCACATGGCAACGTGAGAAGGGCAGAAAACAGACTGGCAGGCAGCGAGGGCCCAGGAGAGGCCAAGGACATGTCACCAGGATGCCACCCTGACCGGGCAGGTGGGAAGGTGGATTCATCCAGAGCTCGGTGCAGGCCGGGCAGGGGCGTGGCATGGGAAGGAGGCGAGGGTGTGTGGGGTGTGGGTAAGATGGAGGACTTCAGTGTTCGGGCTGAGTGCAGAGGGCGGTAAGGATGGCAGGTCGATGGACAGAGAGCTCCAGGGGTAACAGAGCAGGCCTGGTGTGGGGGCCTTGAGCTGGCTGGAATAAGAGGTGAGGTCTGCGAGGGATGTGGCCTTATCCGGGACGTGAGCACAGCAGTGTCAGGGAGGAAAAGCCTTGGAGACGAGGGGCTCTGGGGCCAGTGGGTTGAGGGGGCCGCTGGAGTCACCTGGCAGGGGGTGGTGGCAGAACTTGAGATGGAAGGACGGCCACCGAGCCGCAGTGGGAGCAGGGTCTGGAAGTGTCACTGAGAACCGGGAAGTCACCCGCCTGCCTGCCTCCTAACCCCAAGGAGCCCACTGCCTGAGAGCACCTCTCTAAGTACCTTTTCTTCAAGCTTGCCTGGGGGCATGGGCCTCCACGTCTGGCCCCAGGCTCTGTGGTCACCTGTAGCTCCAGCACAGACACCCTGTACAGGCAGGCACCGGCGGGGGCATTAGTGCTCCAGAAGAGCCACTGGGGCCACGTGTCCTCAGAAGAGCAGAGCTGTGGGCGTGGCATCTGCAGAGGTTCTGTGTTTAATTGTGTGTGCGGGTGGCGTGGCCCCGTGCTTGTGTGTGTGGCCGTGTGTATTTTGAACGAGACAGCACGTGTGTGTGAGGCACTGTATTAGAGCCCCATATGTGCGGGAGACCTGTGCGTGCACGCGAGAGAGAGCACGCGTGAGGGTGTGGTCCAGGGAGAGCCAAGCTGTCTGGAATTAGTGGCGGTAGCCTGCCCGGGGGCCCTGAGATAGTCATTGCCCACTCGGGAAATGACCTGCCTGGGTGAGTTCCCCTCCTCTGTGACTCGTCACCATGCCTGTGACCCCCCCTCCATCTGCCTGCTTCCCCCCATTTGTCTTCCCCAGCCCCCTCCGCCCCTCCCCAGAAGGTTACCTGTGTGAGCACGGGCTCCACCACTGTGCGGGTAAGTTGGGTCCCACCGCCGGCTGACAGCCGCAACGGCGTCATCACCCAGTACTCCGTGGCCTACGAGGCGGTGGACGGCGAGGACCGCCGGCGGCAGGTGGTGAACGGCATCAGCCGCGAGCACTCCAGCTGGGACCTGGTGGGCCTGGAGAAGTGGACGGAGTACCGGGTGTGGGTTCGGGCGCACACGGACGTGGGTCCCGGCCCCGAGAGCAGCCCGGTGCTGGTGCGCACCAACGAGGACGGTAGGCAGCGGCGCCCGCCGAGGGAAGGGCAGGGAGGGAGGCCTTCCACCTGGACACCGCCCACCTGCAGCCGCGGGCACGGGCCCAGAGGGATTCTTGGTGTAGGCGTAATGATTGAAACTAGCTTGTGGGGTAGCCTGTGCCCAAATCCCAGCCTGTGGGGCTATTTCTGGGGCAGCCAGAGCCTTGAAAGGCTAAGATGGAAAAAGTAGCCCTCACTAAGATAGGAGAGGTCAGGACTGGGAAGATTGGCAAGAGACACTCAACACAGAATTAACAAGACTCTGCTTGGGCTAGACACGGGCATGATATGAGGCCCCGGGAGGAGAGATACCACAGGTGCTAACTTTGGGGTCATCAAAAAAGGCCTCTCCCCCACAAGCGAGGTAGCCCTGAGCCAGAGGGGGTCACAGGGTCCTGGATTCTTTCTCTCCACTGCCAGGCGGAGGAGGTTCTCTGTTCCTCTCCAGGGACAGACAATCTAAGGAAGCTACATCAGGGCCTCTCCCGGGGCAGTGGGGTGCAAAGGCAAGGCCCTGGCGTGTGCTGCGCCCCTGAGCCAGGACCCGCACCGCCAGGCCTGACTCCTTGCCTCCTGGTCCCCAGTGCCCAGTGGGCCGCCGCGGAAGGTGGAGGTGGAGCCACTGAACTCCACGGCCGTGCACGTGTCCTGGAAGCTGCCTGTCCCCAGCAAGCAGCACGGCCAGATCCGAGGCTACCAGGTCACCTACGTGCGGCTGGAGAACGGCGAGCCCCGTGGCCCACCCATCATCCAGGATGTCATGCTGGCTGAGGCCCAGGTATACCCCTGGGATGTGGGTGGGAGGGGGGGTGAGGCCAACATGCTCTCAGAGGAACTGTTGACACCCAGACCGCCTGCTGTCTCCAGCATGGGAGGCACTGAGACCAGGAGTTGGGGCAAGGTTCCAGGAATAGGCCCCGCCAGCCCCACCTGCCCTGGTGACCGTCCCGGCCTGGCCACACTTCCGACTCAGCCATCAGCACCAGCACTAAAGAGCTGTGTCTGCACAGGCCTGACCTCTGTTGTCTCCCCTACCCAGGCTTCAGCCCTCGGAGCCCTCCTTTGTGGCTGGCAGGGAGCGCCTTCGCTGTCACGATGGGCTGGGCAGTGCTGAGCTGGGCAGCTCCTGCTCCCACAGCAAGGGCCGGGAAAGCTCTCCTGGGCAGTCTTTTCCCCCAACTTGGCCGCTGGCCATTGCCGAGTTCTTTGAATGGCCACGCTGGGGTGTTGCTTTCTGCCTGGCCCCAGGAGGATGGCTCAGTCCTTTCTGTTTCCTCTCGAGAGCCGGGCCTGCCAGACAGCCTCATACCTCCCTCCGCATGGTGTCCTGGGGTTGCCGATTCTGCCCGTGAGCTTGGGGTGAGGTTCCTGGGCATCCTCAGCACTGGATTGCTGTTCAGATGAAGAACCTGGGGTCCTGGGAGGTGATGGGGGTGGCCCGGAATTTCCCAGTAAGTAGGTGGCTGAGCTTGGATAAGAAGCCAAGTCTCTGGATTCCTGGGTAACGGGCTTTGATTGCTATTTCAAGTTCCCTCTCAAAGTGTTCTGCTGACGAGTCCTAACACCTGATGTGGTGTGCTCTGGGATCAGGGCCTTTGGGGATCCACTGGGGGTGGCGCTGAGCCAGCCCTGAGGAAAGGAACCCAGATTCTCTCCAGAACCACACACCTTCTCGGTCCCGCTTTTCGCCCCTACCTGGGCTGGAGCTGCGGGCTTGCCCTGCGCTGTGCTTGCTGCCGTCCCTCCCACACAGACGGGCTTCCCTCCCACTGGGCTCAGCCCTCACGTTCCCTCTTCCTCCCCTCAGTGCCGGGAGCTGAGAGAACAAGGGGGTGGAAGAGGCAGGCATGTATACCCGGCTGCATTCCTGGGCAGGTTGAGGGCTCCTCCTGGAGCCTCAGCGGACACACCCTCCCAGAAACATCCCGGGAATGGGCTCCCTCCAGCCCCTCCCAACCTAGGGGCCAGCAGCACAGCTGCCCCCAGTGGGGTTCTGGAGAAGCCACTTTGGGTGCCCCCTTCTGGTCCCAAGTGATTTGAAGGGAGCTGGGCTGTGGGAGGAGGAACACTGCCCTCTTGACCTCAAACATCCCATGACCTGAGTGGGATGGGGAGCAAGCATGAGCTCAGGCTCCAGGGAAGCCGACTGAAAATGAAGGGCCTGCCCTGCTGGCCCCTGTGGGACTGGGTTGTTCTGCTCTGAGCCATTAGGAGAGCAGATGAGGCCTGGTCCCCAGACTGGCCACAGGGCCAGCTGTCCCCTGAGTGGTCTGTCAAGGACACCGCAGCCTGTCCTTCACCCTACAGCACCATCTTCCAGGCCCAGGGCCTCCATCCATTCTGAGAGAAGCATGGGGTCCGAGCCCCTCTGAGTTGTAGCCAGACCTGTCTCCTGTTACCTTTGTCTACGGATTTGTTTGTTTCTCATGGTCTCTGACTGTACCTCCCTGTGTTCTTCTGTCCCTTTCTCATGGTCTCTCTTTTTCTGCCTCTCCCTCTCACTGACTGTTTCCATCTGTCTCATTCTCTTCTCTCTCCTTTCCTCTGATCCCTTTTCATCCTCCCTCCCTCCCTGCCCCCCCTCCCTCTCTCTCCATTGTGCTCCACTCATTTGAATTCCCCTTCTTCTCTCTCTCTCTGCCCCCAGTGCAGGAGAGGTGCCCTGTGAGGACCCCTGTCCGGGCCTGGTTTGCACAGTGCAGCTCTCCCACCAGGCAAGGAACCTAGAGCAGAGGTGGGCCCAGCCACACCCTAGAAAGTAGCCATGGCCAGTAGGGGCCTGTCAGTGGTCTCCCACCATATCCCCCCATATCCTGTCCCACGCTTCTTGCAAGGCCTTTCCAACAGAACCTCCCAGAACAGGAGGAACTGGGCCCAGTGGACAGAGGCCTGACTGGCACTGTGAGGATGTTGGGCTGGAGGACCCCATGGTACCTCTGTCTTGGAGATGTCATGGACCAATTCCCTGTGCTGTGCACCTGCCAGTCACCAGCACTCCAGTGCTGTAGGACTGCAGAATGGAGATGTTATTTCCTCCGCCTGTCCAGCTAATACACCTGCATGCATCATGGCCTAAAGAGGAATCCACCAAAAAGTAGCAACATTGCTGCCGAAACATGCCTTCTAACCTTGCTACTGAAACATGCCTTCTGACCTTGAGATCTCAGGCACCCCCAGGAAGGAACGAGGGTCTGGGTACTCTCCCTGTGGTGGGGGGCAGGGCCCAGGCTCTGAGTTGGGCATTTACACCCCTGTCACCCTGCTGTCCAGCCTGCCCTGGGCTCTCACCTCAGCCGTGGTGCAGCTCTTACTCAGACAGTTCTGCCTGGGATGACCTATAATCTGTCGTCCCAACTGGGATACTTTTGGGAGTAATCGTATGTTGGCAACAAGCATAGGCCAGGACTGCCCCAGGCAAACCAGGTTGTAGTGCCTCCCTCCCCCTGCCTGAGCTGTCCTGCCCACCCTCCACGTCTGGCGGCCCGGCCTCAAAGCACCTGCAGGTGGCGCTTTGATCCCTCAGCGGCCTGGAGCCCTCCCCTCAGCCCTGACAATTGGGCTCATGAGTCAGGGGCTGGGATCTTAAGGTGGGGAGTGGTTTTGAGGTACTACCTTCACGGGCCCTTCAGGGGCCCACGTCCGCCATCTGCCCTCCCTGGGCCAGGCTCCCTCCAGGCCAGAGTCTTTCACATCCTGTCTCCCTTTCTCTCCCTCTCCCGCGGTCAGTGGCAACCAGAGGAGTCCGAGGACTATGTAAGTAACAGGTGTGCGAGCGCGGGCAAGACCTGGGTCAGGCTGGGCTCATGGGTCACTCCCTCTCCTCTGCCTTTCCTCCCAGCCTGAGCCGCCCAGATCCACAGGGCACCAGCCACGTCTGGAGAAAATAGGTGTTTAGGCGGGAGCGCCAGCCTGAGCGGCGATTGGCATTTCTTCTAATCCTTACTTTTCGCCTGTTGAGAAGCAATTTCAGGCCAATGTTTGTGATTGACCAGGACCTGGCCACTGCTCTGGCCAGACGGGGATAGAGTTAAATCCAATCCTGATTGTTAGACCTTATTGATCCCTGGAATGAGAAATCACCTGCTCTGACTCCAGGCTGGGAGGCGAGTCTGGGGAGCCAGATTCCGGCATTGGTGCATTCTGAAGTCCCAGCCCTGGGAGACCCTCCAGCGGGGCAGGAGGGGCCTGTGAGGGGTTGGTGGTGGCTGTAGTGGCCCACCCGAGGCTCAGAGCTGGAGGGACACTAGGGCTGGTGGTGACAGCTCTGTTCCCACTGCACGGTGGTCCCTCTTTTCTTCCCATTCTTCCCTTTGTGTGGTGTGGCTTAGCCTCCATGGTTTCTCAGCATGTCCGGAAATGATGCCTTGGCTGGACATGGGCATAGGGGCAGGGCCTGCTGAGGCAGGGGAACAGTGTCTGGGCTGACTTCTCAGGTATCACTGGGCTACTGGGGGAGAGTGTTCCTCAGGGTGGGGGTTCCCTATCCTTGACTCTCCTCCCTGTCTCAGGAGGTATTGCAGGGTGTGAAGTGTACATGGAGCCAGTGCCTTGACGAGGGTCAGATGGGGTCCTGACTTTTTTCTGCAGGGTGGCACTTTAGCCCAACCTTCTACCTTGCTCTGTGGGTGTGCATGGGTGTGCATTTGTATCTACAGGTGGCCTTCCACCTGCTTATACAGGAAGAGCTATAGGCTACACAAGTGTGCATGCCAGGAGCCATGCAAGGTGCTGTGTGTGTGCAAGGCTCTGAGTGTCGTGTGCACAGACCTCATGAGGTGTCATTCATGGTTCAATGGAGTGAGGAACAGTGTGGCCCTTTGTTCTTGTCTAAAAGGAAGAATGAGCTGTCTGGGCTGCCTGCCCCAGGTGTGCGGATCCTAGGATGGGCGGGGGTCCTCCTGGGCACACGTCCCACCTTCCTGACCCCACCTTCATCAGAAGCCAGCATTGCACAGCACCCCTCCCAGGACCTCGCCCCGTGTGCCCTGAGGACTCCCTACCGGCTAAGATCCTGAGATGGCTGGCCCGGTCTGGCCTTTCCTTGCTCTCCTGTGATGGGAATGGGCCCCTCCTCCTCCCTTAGGAAACCACCATCAGCGGCCTGACCCCGGACACCACCTACTCCGTTACTGTTGCTGCCTATACCACCAAAGGAGATGGTGCCCGAAGCAAGCCCAAAATTGTCATGACGACGGGGGCAGGTGAGGAAGGGGTCCGGGGCAGAGCTGGGGGAGGGGGGGCTGCGAGGAGGGCAGTGCCAGAGCCTAGTGCGTGGTTGTTCAGTCCCAGGCCGGCCCACCATGATGGTCAGCACCACAGCAATGAACACCGCCCTGCTCCAGTGGCACCCACCCAAGGAGCTGCCTGGTGAGCTGCTGGGCTACCGGCTGCAGTACCACCGGGCTGACGAGACAAGGCCCAACACCATAGATTTTGGCAAGGATGACCAGCACTTTACAGTCACTGGCCTGCACAAAGGGGCCACCTACATCTTTCGGCTGGCTGCCAAGAACCGGGCCGGCCTAGGTGAGGAGTTCAAGAAAGAGATCACGACCCCCGAGGGCGTACCCAGCGGCTTCCCACAAAACTTGCGCGTAGTAGGGCTGACTACCTCTACCACGGAACTGACCTGGGACCCCCCGGTGCTGGCGGAACGCAATGGGCACATCACCAACTACACCGTGGTATACCACGACATCAACAGCCAGCAGGAGCTGCAGAACACCATTGCCACCACCCACCTTACTCTCTCCGGCCTCACGCCAGACACCACTTACGACATCAAGGTCCGTGCATATACCAGCAAAGGTGCCGGCCCGCTGAGCCCCAGCATCCAGTCTCGGACCATGCCCATGGAGCAAGGTGTGTGCTGCAGGCACAGAGCTGCACCTGGGGAACTCTTCTGCTCTTGACCCACTGACTTCTGGCGACTGATCCTCCAGCCTCTGTTCTCTGACCCTCTGGTCTCTCATGACCATGACCACTAACCTCTAGCAAATGGGTGCCACATTCTCAGTGTGTGATCCCAACCTCTGCTGTCTTGACCTACTGACCTCTGCTGTGTAACTCCAATATCTTGTGACTTTGACCCACTGATCTCTTTTCACTGTATCGCCATTCTTGGGTATGCAACACTAATCTCTCGGGGCCACAGCACACTGACCTCTTAGTGAACTTACTCCACTGTGCTCTGGTGTTCGGCTATATGCTTCTCATGACCAAATGCCACTGACGTGGTCACTCTGACCTGTGACCTGTGACCTCCAGCTTTGACCCAAATACTTGTGGAGATCCTGACTGTGGGTGCTGTGGCATGTGCCAGCGGGGTGCTCCCTGTGTGGAAGAGCTGGGCTGGGAGCTGAACTGTGCAATTTGGAGCCGGCTGGGAGTGGAGTGCCTGGTTCCCTGCAGCCATTCCTGACCTCTGCACCCCAACAAGTGTTTCTTCCTGGCTGGGAACCTTTTAGGCCTGCTCACTTCACCCCAGTTACACAGCTAGCACTGACTCCCTCTTTATGTTCCACAGTGTTTGCCAAGAACTTCCGTGTGGCAGCTGCAATGAAGACGTCTGTGCTGCTCAGCTGGGAGGTTCCTGACTCATACAAGTCCGCTGTGCCCTTCAAGGTGGGTGAGGGCCACTGCCAACCCAGCCTGCGCGGGCCCGCTGTGGCCATCAGCCCAGTCCTGTTACGGGCCTTCGTGCGCGCTCATGAGGCAGGATCCTGGTGAGGTGTGCATGCCTGAGCTCTGCCCTGCAGGCCGTGGTGGGACGCCTCACCCCTTTCCCTGCAGATTCTGTACAACGGGCAGAGCGTGGAGGTGGATGGGCACTCGATGCGGAAGCTGATCGAAGACCTGCAGCCAAACACGGAGTACTCGTTCGTGCTGATGAACCGGGGCAGCAGCGCTGGGGGCCTGCAGCACCTCGTGTCCATCCGCACGGCCCCTGACCTCCTGCCACACAAGCCGCTGCCTGCCTCTGCCTACATGGAGGATGGCCGCTTCACCCTCTCCATGCCCCATGTGCAGGACCCCTCACTCGTCAGGTGTGCAGATGAGGCCTTGGGGAGGAGCACAGGGGTGTTAACCTGAGCGTGGGCAGTGACAGTCCTGTCTCCTGCCGGCCCAGGTGGTTCTACGTTGTGGTGGTGCCCATTGACCGCGTGGGCGGGAGCATGCTGCCGCCGCGGTGGAGCACACCCGAGGAGCTGCAGCTGGACGAGGTGCAGGGATGGGCCGGGTGGCATTTACAACAGCCCTGTGGCAGTGGTTGGCTGTGGCCCAGTGGCTCCCCTAAATTGGAATTACTCTCTGGCTTCTCTTGTTGGTAGCCAGGCCCCTCCAGAGGAGAGGGACTCCGAGGTGGCCCCCAGGAGTTTCAGAGAACTGGCTCATAGAGGAATCCCTAGAGGGCTTTGCCAAGGATCCCTGGAGTGGAAAAAGCAGAGACTTCTCTGTGGGGACAGAGAACCTCAAGTTCTATGGGCTGTAGAGGGTCCCCGTGGGGCTGGAGCAGAGCCCCCAGGATATTCGGGATCCCCATTCTCTTCTGGTATCCTTGTGGAACCAGCTGGTTACCTAGAGTGCATCTTCTTACTGGTCGGTGGGAAGGAGTGTCATTGCCATCTGGTATCCCGCATTTTGCTGCAAGGGAGGTGGGCTGGGCAGGGCTCGGGCCCCTTACACAGAAGGTGAACCCCGGTCTCAGCTCAGGGAGCTGGTGTCCCAGGCCACAGGCCCAGGGACACGTGCTCCAAGGCCCGGCGTGACTGTGCTCTGCTCCATCAGCTCCTGGAGGCCATCGAGCAGGGCAGCAGGGAGCGGCGGCGGCGGCGGCAGACAGAGCGGCTTAAGCCTTACGTGGCCGCACAGGTGGACGTGCTCCCCGAGACCTTCACCCTGGGGGACAAGAAGAGCTACCAGGGCTTCTACAACCGGCCTCTGTCCCCGGACCTGAGCTACCAGTGCTTTGTGCTCGCCTCCCTGAAGGAGCCCGTGGACCAGGTCTGCTTGAGCCACCTGGGCCCTCAGCACCCTGAGACCCCAGGCCTGACCCAAGACCAGGCCAGGCTCCAACACCCTGAGATCCCAGGCCTGAGGCAGCCCCAGAGACCCCAGACCTGCACAAGGGATCTCAAGACACAGGCCCCTAGGATCTAGAAAGCCAGGGCTAATCTATCCTAGGGACCCAGTGAGCTGACCAGGCTCTTAGGTCAGGGAGACCAGGCCCAGCCCCAGAACCCCTTCTCTAGGTTTGGTGGGCAGAGGGTGGGAGATCTCACGCTGAGCTCACCGCCCATGCTATTCCTCCACTGGACCACAGAAGCGCTATGCCGCCAGCCCCTACTCCGATGAGATTGTGGTCCAGGTGGTACCAGCCCAGCAGCAAGAGGAGCCTGAGATGCTGTGGGTGACAGGCCCTGTCCTGGCAGTCATCCTCATCATCCTCATTGTCATCGCCATCCTCCTGTTCAAGAGGTAAGTTCTGTGCTCAGGACTCCAGGGAATGGCCACCTGCCCCTGGACTTCCAGGCCCTCCCTAGGCGTGGAGCATTGGGGCCCAGGGCAGCCACGCCAGCCTGCATCCCACCCGTGCGCAGCGGGGAGCCGGGAAGAGCAGGAGCAGTGTGCGCACATGTGTGTGTGTGTGTGTGTGTGTGTGCTGAGCCGAGGCTTCACAGAAGGCTGGTTCGCGTGTATCTGTGGGTGTCTGTCCATCTGTCCCTGTAGATGTGAGCGTGTCTGTCTCTCAGCTTCAAGATACTGCTCTCTCTTGGTCTCCTACCTTCAGCACTTTCTTTGCCACCATTATTAGATGACGCCCCAGTTGGAGGCCCACGTGCCCACTGTCCTAGACTTAGTGCCTCTTAAACCTTCCTTGAAACCTTCCTTCCATCGCCCTAATTACCAACATACCTGGGTACCACCCTGACCCCTTCTCTTCCTCCCATCCACTGTCACCTGCGAGTCCCGTCCTGAATGTCTGAATCTCCTTCCCCCCGGTGGGCTCCCCGCAGGTAGTGCGCGTGCAGGCGGCGGGGACCTGGCCGCCCCGGTGGGCTCCCCGCAGGTAGTGCGCGTGCAGGCGGCGGGGACCTGGCCGCCCCGGTGGGCTCCCCTCAGGTACGTGCGCGTGCAGGCGGCGGGGGACCTGGCCCTCCCGGTGGGTTCCCCTCAGGTAGTGCGCGTGCAGGCGGCGGGGGACCTGGCCGCCCCGGTGGCTCCCCTGCAGGTAGTGCCCGTGCAGGCAGAGGGGACCTGGCCGCCCCGGTGGGGCTCCCCGCAGGTAGTGCGCGTGCAGGCAGAGGGGACCTGGCCGCCCCGGTGGGCTCCCCGCAGGTAGTGCACGTGCAGGCAGAGGGGACCTGGCCGCCCCGGTGGGCTCCCCGCAGGTAGTGCGCGTGCAGGCGGCGGGGACCTGGCCGCCCCGGTGGGCTCCCCTCAGTAGTCGCGTGCAGGCGCTCCCCGCAGGTAGTGCGCGTGCAGGCGGCGGGGACCTGGCCGTCCCGGTGGGCTCCCCGCAGGTAGTGCGCGTGCAGGCGGCGGGGACCTGGCCGCCCCGGTGGGCTCCCCGCAGGTAGTGCGCGTGCAGGCGGCGGGGACCTGGCCGCCCCGGTGGGCTCCCCGCAGGTAGTGCGCGTGCAGGCAGAGGGGACCTGGCCGCCCCGGTGGGCTCCCCGCAGGTAGTGCGCGTGCAGGCGGAGGGGACCTGGCCGCCCCGGTGGGCTCCCCTCAGGTAGTGCGCGTGCAGGCGGAGGGGACCTGGCCGCCCCGGTGGGCTCCCCGCAGGTAGTGCGCGTGCAGGCAGAGGGGACCTGGCCGCCCCGGTGGGCTCCCCGCAGGTAGTGCGCGTGCAGGCGGCGGGGACCTGGCCGCCCCGGTGGGCTCCCCTCAGGTAGTGCGCGTGCAGGCAGAGGGGACCTGGCCGCCCCGGTGGGCTCCCCGCAGGTAGTGCGCGTGCAGGCGGCGGGGACCTGGCTGTCCCGGTGGGCTCCCCGCAGGTAGTGCGCGTGCAGGCGGCGGGGACCTGGCTGTCCCGGTGGGCTCCCCGCAGGTAGTGCGCGTGCAGGCGGCGGGGACCTGGCCGTCCCGGTGGGCTCCCCGCAGGTAGTGCGCGTGCAGGCGGCGGGGACCTGGCACGAGCACACCTCAGTCTCCTTGGGGTTGCAGCCACTGCTCTGGGAGTCCCTCCTTTCGCTCTGACCTTTAACCTTGCTGCCAGAAGGTATTACCAAAGATTTAACTTTGTCACCTCAGTGTAAGTCTTTGTAGTGGTTCCCAAGATAAACCCTCACCTCTGTAATGGCAAAACGCCTGGCTAGTCCCTTGCCACCACTCCTGACATTGTCACACTGAGCGAGTGCAATCCCCCCAGGCTCAGACTGCCCCCTCCATGCTGCAGCTGTCACACTCCCTACCTACCTGGCAACTGCCATCCTGGCCTTTAAGACTCTCCTCCAGGCCCATGAGGTGCTCCTGCTCCCCCCCCAACACTGTCCCTCATCTACCCCAGCAATGCTTCACTGGGCACGTCTCTGGGCCCCACTTCCAGCACCCAGCACAAGGCTGAGCCCACAAGACATGTCCATGAGTGCTTGTCAGTGAATGCATGTTGGTCTGTGTGTTTGAAGACCTTCATGTGTGAGTTCCTGTGCTCCGTGCCCCATCTCTCCCCTGACCCCTGACCTGGACCCATTGCCTCTTTCCTGAAGGGTTAATGGGACAGGCTGCCCTGGTCCAGGGCAAAGAGACCTCTGGTGGGGACCTGAGGAGCATCCCTCACACCCACTCATCCTTCTTCCCACTGTCGCCTGGGTCTTGGGGTCTTATCACGAGGGGCAACCCAACTTGTGTGTACCACAAGGGTGCCACAGATAGGTCCCACAGTGTCCCCATGTCATGAGAGGGCCTGAGTCCTTGGCCGAAGCAGTGACCATTCCTTTCTTCTGTCCTTGCCTGTCTTTCGGGACCTAGTAAACAAGAAAGGTAGGAGTCGTTCCTTCTCTCTTCACACGCCTCCCCTTTCACCGATTGTCCCTGCGCTTATTTCGGGCCCAGCAGGGAGGGGCGGTGCTTTGACTGGAAGCATCCTGGCCTGTGGCTGTCAGGTCAGCTCAGCAGGCTCTGTCACTCTCCATGTGTACCCTGCACAAGGATCCCCCTTTCTCCAGGGCCCAGCCATAGCACAGACTTCTGACGCTTTCCCTGCGTGCACAGACTGGCTCCGAGCTCACAGAGCCCTCCACCAGGCTCCCTATTCTGAGTTACCTTCCTGCTGCAGGAGATGGATCGTGTTTGTATGCAGAGAGCACTGCAGAGACTGGGGAAGAGTGTGCAAACTCACAGTTCTTCACCCCAAACGTACCCATGTCTCCTGAGCAGAGGCAGCTCCTGCGCGCTTGTCAGCAGCTACATCCTGCAGTCTGTCTCTGATTGTGTCCTGTAGTCAGGGGAGCTGAGGCCATCGAGGGGGGCCTCTGCCTGGCCAGGGAGATGCCTTCCCTGTCCTGCCCCTGATGCTCTGGGCATGTACCCCAATACCGAGAACCAGGCAGCTGGGGCCCAGCGCTCTGTGATGTTTTCGTATCTTATATGTGGTTTGCATGTTTATTCCTGGTGGCTCCTGCTGTCTCAGCTGTTGCAGCCTTGGGTCAGCAGCCACTGCCCAACAGTGACCTGCCCTCTATCGGAAGGAGCCACCAGCCCCCCCAACCCCTTCTCCCTCGCTGCACCGCCCTCTGTCCACTCCCTCTCGTGCTGTCTCCTCACCCCCACCCTGTGCTCTCCATGTTGAAGCTGCTCTGCCCTGGCTTCCCTGGCTAGGGACCCCAGGAAGGGCAGTGTGGTGCAGGGGACAGAGCCATGAATACGGGCTCCATGGCAGCCAGCCACACCATCCGTCTGTCCTCTGCCTGGGCCTCAGGTTCCCACCGACTGCCTTTCTGCCTCTTTAGGAAAAGGACCCATTCCCCATCGTCCAAGGACGAGCAGTCGATCGGGCTAAAGGACTCTTTGCTGGCCCACTCCTCCGACCCTGTGGAGATGCGGAGGCTCAACTACCAGACCCCAGGTAGGGAAGTCCCTCCAGGCTGCTTGCCTCAGCCCAGGCCTGTAGGTTCCTGAGGGCTCCACCGAGGGACCCTGGTCTCATGCCATTTCCTGTTTCTCCTTTTTGCCCTTCTCCCTGTATCATCCACTTTGTTGGTGACTGAGGAGCCCCTGTGTCCATCAGACGCACAGGCACTCCAAGGCCTGGGAGCCTGTCAGGGACGCCCAGCTGCTTAGGGCCTGCCCTGTCTTTGTTCTGTCTGAACACGGGCTAAGGACCTCACAGAGCCCACATTCCAGCCACGGGGTAGCCAGCGCCTGCACTCCGGCGCGTCCATGTCAAAGAGGTGTCGGTGGAAAACGCTCCATCAGACACTTGTGGGATGGCGTGCCCGCGTGGGACTCTTTCTGGATGCTGGCCCCAGCTGTTCCGTGAGAGCACAGGGCCCCACACAGGGCTTGGTGTCTGCCCTTTCTTTCCCAGCCACTCTCACGCTCTCTAAGTGTTCCTTCTACCTGAAGTGACATTCCCTCCCCACATCCCAGCAGACACCTCCCCGACTGCCCCAGCCCCCATGCAGCCTGGGGGGTATCTCTCCTCGGCTCCCAGAACCTCTCTGCTTCTCTGTCATGACACCTCTCCGCCTGGGCTGGAGTTGCCTCGATGACAGTCTGAGCGCTGTGGGGCCAGGACCGAGTCTGTTCGTTCGTCGTCCCTGGTATTAGCTCACGGCGGGTTTCTGTTGAATGCCCCCTGGAACAGACACACAGCTGAGGGCGAGAACTAACACGCACACAGGGTTTGTGTATAGATGAGCTCATTATTACTACGTGTTAAATCACCCCAATACTTAATGGCTTAAAACAACAATAATTATGTATCATTTCTCACAGTGTTTGTGAGTCAGAAACCCAGACAGGAGCGTGGCAGGAACAGCCTATCTATTCTAGAATGTCTGGGCCCTCAGCTGGAAGACTTGAAGTCTGGGAGCTGGAATCATTTAAAGCAGGGGTCAGCAGACTATGGCCCATGGCCAAATACAGCCCACCACCTGTTTTTGCAGATAAAGTTTTATTGGAACCCAGCCATGCCCATTCATTTATGTATTGTCTATGGCAACTCTCACACTGTAGCAGCAGGGTTAAGTGATATGGTAAGGTATGTTGTATCCAGAGCCAAAAATATTTACTCTCCGGCCCTTTATAGAAAAGTTTGCTGATCGCTGAATTCTGAAACTCACTTATTCACATGTGTGTGGTTGATGCTAGAATCGGCTCTGAGCCTGCCTGGGGTTGTCAGCCTCTTCATGTGGCCTGCAGTCCCTTACAGCATGGTGACTGAGTTCCAAGGACACATGTCCTGACAGCGAGAGAACCAGGAAGACCTAGCAGGCTGCTGCACCTGGGTATCTGAGGAGTAATCGAAGCTCCGGGATGCTGGGGCCCTGGAGGGCAGAGAGCCTCCTGAGAGCGGATGCCGAGCCCTGTGGGCATTAGTGGAGCCCACGGGCTGGTAGGGAGCTCTCAGTGCTGGAAAGGCATGCACGGGAGCAGCTCAGGCACTGCGTGTTCTGCAGCATTGGAACTGGGGATGTTGAGAGCCCAGAGGCAAAGCTGGAGGGTTACGTGGAGGTCCAGTCCGAGGAACCTGAGCAGCGGGCTCAGGAGTTTGTACTGCCTCTTCAGGGGACCAGGGAGGCAGTAAACGTTTTCAGGAAAGGATTGTGCTTTAGAAATATCTCTCTGGCTGCTGTGTGGAAGACAAGCTGAAGGGAGAAATTGGGGAGGGAGACTATTTAGAAGGCCACCAGGTGAATGATAGGTGCTGAGGACCTGGACTTGGAAGGTGGCAGTGTGGGAGGAGGGAAGGGCAGACTCAGAGAAGCGTGAAGGAGACAGGGCAGCTGGGCTTGGGCTTGATTGCATGTGGGGGTGAAGAAGCCGGGGGGACATGCCAGGATGGCTCCTGGTTGCTGGCTGGCAGTGGGGTGGGGGCTCCAGGCGGCAGCCAGTCTGTGGGTCTGGACATTTCCACTGACATCGGGCTGAAACCATGGGTGTGGGCGGTGCCAAGGAGCGAGCAGGGGTCAAAGCCTGAGAAGAGATGGGCTCTCCCAGAAGACGGGGCAGCAAGCAGCCAGGGAAGGAGGTGAGATGCTAAGGAAAGTGGCTGAGGAGGTTTAGATGGAGCAGCTAGGGACAGAGAACAGAAGGGCAGCATCCCTGAAGCCACCGGGCAGAGCTGTGGGAGGACTTGGTAATTTATAGTGGCCAGAGACCCAGGTGGGCACCATCGGCTTTGGCATTTGGCACCTTGGAGGGGGCATGGCGGCCAAGTCCTGAGTGCAGTGAGCGGGGAAAGAGCAAGTGGAGAACCTTCTTTCAGAGGCCAAGTGTGAAGGACAGGAACACAAGGGAGGGGCGAGGGGTGTGGGATCCAAAGAGGATTTTTCTTCTTTCCGATACGGCATTATGTGTGGACAGTGGTCATTTGAGTAAGCATTTGAGACACGGGATCCAAGCCCTGGTGTGGGGTATGATTTAGCCTAAGAAAGCATGTTGGGGATGCCTTCGCGCCTCAGGCTGGGAGGGGTGGGAGGCAGGTGAGGTTGGTGGAAGGGAATGTGTTGCTGGCTGAAGTTCTCAGCGCAAGGCCTGTTCGCTCCCGAATGAGAGGAAAGTGGTTAGAGCAGGGTCATGAGAGAAGTCGTGGCCTGGCTGTGTGCGTGCCGGGAGGATTGCCGAGCAGCCTGAGGGCCCAGGGGACAGATCCCGAATTCCTGTGGCTGCAGGGATCCGAGGGAAAGAAGGGATGCAGAAGAGGTCTTCGGTGGCATTAAAGGCCAAGTGCAGGAGGCGGGGCCAGAAGGACCGGAGGCTGCAGCCTGGGTCAGACAGTGGGAAGGGGCGTGGTGAGCGTCACCAAGAATCTGATGAAGGAACTGGGGCTGCGTTTGGGGCGGGTCGTGTCCAGGGACAGTGGCAGGGCGGTGGGATGGCAGCACTCTCCTTGGCTCAGGGTTTCCTTTGTATTTTTTTTTTTTTAGTTCAGTAAATAGTTATTTTTTTTTTTACAATTTAATTTCTATTCTGACAATTTCTTAGCCCCACAGAAAAGCTGCCAGAGAACATGTCGTCATCTGCATGTTCTCGTGCAGACTGACCCTTCGTTTTTGGCCTCATCTCTCTGTATAAAAGCATACTTTGCTTTTGTCAAGTCATCTGAAAATAGCCACGGTCTAATTTTATTACCAGAGGGGACGAGGGTTGACTTGGACCAAGAATGTAGTCATAAAAAGAGACTTCCCAGGCCCCCTCGAGCCAGGAGCACTAGCTCTGGGTGGGAAATCCGCCTGTGTCCCTCAGGACCAGGAGGCCTGTGGTAGGCTGGGCCTGCTGTCCCTGGTCCCCTCCCCCTGCCTGCCCTCCAGGCCTCGTCCCGCACCACCGCGCCACCCCTGCGCTGTGCCCTTCGTGGTGTAACCAGGGAAGGCTAACGTGCTCTCTCCTCTTGCCTGCTATTTTTTGTTTTTATCTCTGCAGGTTCCAGTGTCCCCAGTTGCCCGAATATCTCAAGTTAGTTTTCCAAGTTCCCATGTTTGGGGCCTACTCTGGCTTCTGTGTCTGTTTTCTCTACTTTTCTCACCTAGTCGCCTCCCTGCTTCCTTGATTTCCTCTCTCCTTTCTTCTCCCTCTCCCTTCTCGCTGTCCCTTTTCCCTTCTCCGTCCTCCTTCTCCCCCACTTGCTTCCTCCAGTTTTGTCTTCCCTCCCACCGGCCCTGTCTCTGACTCTCGGCCTCTCCGGCCACCAGCTTCAGTCTGACACCTTTTTGGGTGCCTCTTCTGTCTCCCCGTCTCCAAATTTCCCTCCTCATCCCTGTGTCTCTCTCCATGTTCGTCCACGTCTCTCTGCCGTGTCTCTGTACCTCGTGATCACTCCATCCACATGCTTGATGCTGGGACGATGCTGTCACGAAGTCTCCCACGGTGACTCGCGCCAGTGAGGGGCAGGAGGGCTGTCCACAGGCAGGGCCCCGGGGTGCGGGTGCAGGCTGAAGAAGCCCATAGCCCCAGCCTGGGTGGGAGGAAGCCTCTCACCCCTCTGAGAACCCACCAGGTGGGGCCCTGGTGCCCCCACTCAGCGCCGTGTCACACAGACATGCTCACACGTGCTCACAGCACACACACTCCTTCTGCCCTCGCCCCACTCTGGCCACTGTGTGCTCCATCCCTGTCGCCGCATGTGCTGCTGTCTCCATGCCACCAGTGCCAAGTGCTCCATGGCCACACATGTTCACGTGTGCACATACATGCATTGGGCTGTCTCTGCCACCCGGCTCAGGCCCATGCCAACTCAACCTGTGTGTGCCCTCACGTCCCCAGGTATGCGAGACCACCCACCCATCCCCATCACTGACCTGGCGGACAACATTGAGCGCCTCAAAGCCAACGATGGCCTCAAGTTCTCCCAGGAGTATGAGGTGAGACGTCCCCACCCCCTGCCATGTGCCTGGCCCAGGCCAGGCTCCATGCCAGCTTCTCTCCTGCCTTGGTCCCAGCTGTGGGTCAGGGGCTCCAGGCTTCCCAGAGCACAGATTGGAGGGGTCAGGAGTGCAAGTCGGGAACTCAGCTACTCAGGTGCTGAGCTTGGCTGAGGCCCTTCCAGCACCCCACGTCTGGACACTCAGACACATGCCCAGATGCTCACAGATACAGGTAAAGGGACACGGACACCCACCCCCCCACACACAAACACACACACCTCACACATTCCCAACACACACCCCACACCCCACACACACACCCCACACACCACACACACACACCCCCACACACACCACACACACACACACCCCACACCACACACACACCCCACACACAGACACACACACACACACACACACACTCTGGCTGGCATTTACCAAGAGCTTACTGCAGGCCAGCACTGGGTTAAGCACTTTTCATACATCATCATATTGAGTCTTTTCCACTACCCTGTGAAATGGGCATTGTTATTATCCCATCTTACAGATGAGGAAGCTGAGGCTAAGGGTAAGTGGCTTGCCCAAGGCCAAACAGCTGGTGGGTAGTAGATCCCAGATGCACACGCAGGCCTGTCTGACACACCAGCACAGCCTATGCCCTGTGTACACGTGTGCTCACAGGTTATCAGAGCTGCACAGATCACAGAGGTGGGGAGTTGGGACTCAGCTCAGGCTGCACAAACCCTGCTTCTTGGGCCCCCCCACGTGCTCACTTCACTCTGGCCTGCATCCTATGTGCTGGAGGCTCAGACTTCAGAGCACTGTTCCCTGGGCCTGGAGTCTGAGGGCTTCCAAGGTGCCCAGCTGGGAGGCACTTTGCTAGTGAAGAGGGTGATATGTAGGCCCCCAGCTCCTCTAAGGAGCACAGAGGGAGCTGTCCTTGGGGCTCAGCCCTGCAGTGTCCCTGCTCCTGGCACATATCTTGCGTGGGATTAACCCTCAATCCGTGAGGGATGCAGAGGTGATAGGAGGGCTGGCTCAGCCCAGCCTGGGTATCTACTCCTCTCTGGTCAGATGTCCTCCCTCAACTGTGTGGTGTCCTCCTGGGCACCAAGATTCCCCTTCCACGGGCTGTAGGCCAGGCAGGTTCCGAGGGGTGTGTCTAAGCTCTACAGAGGACATGGGGCTTGGCAGGCAAAGTGATAACATGTCTCCTACAAGGAAAGCAATCTGCCTCTACCTGCAGAGATCCCACTGGGCATTGCTTTGCATACAGTCCCGCTTCAAGGATAACACATTCAGTGAGCTGGGCTCCCTGCCTTTGGTTGTTCAGCTGGCCAGGAAGGCCTTCCATGGTCTTCAGCCCGTACACATTACATTCTGGGTCCCACATTTGCCCTTCCTCCCGACAAGGGCTCTGTGCCTCCCTGTCCAGGCTCAGTGTTCCCCCTTCCATCTTCTGCCTAATTTTATCCTCCAGTTTGAGCTTTCTCTGCAAGACCCTCCTCCAGGAAGCCTCCGCTGGCTACCCTGGCCTGCTGTGGGCTTTCCCTCAGCTAGGATCCCATAGCTCTGTTGCCTTTAATGGTCAGTCAGCCATCCATCACTCATTCAAGCACCTACCATGTGCCAGTCCTATGCTGGGTGCTGGGAATATGGAGACAGATGGCCTCAGGGAGCTCAGTCAGTGGGGAAATGAGTGCACACAGACCATCAACATGGAATAGAATGACAAGCCTTCATAGGAAATGTGACACATGTGCAGAGAAAGTAGGCTGGGAGGGGGTGCTGGGGGACTCATGGAAGCAGCACGCACTGTCCTGTGGGGAGTAACAGGTTGGCTCCAAAACACGGAGAACATCGTGTGCTGTGCTGAGAACTGTATCGCATCCATCTGTAAGAGAATAATAATAGGACCCGCTGCACAGGAGGATTGGATGAGGGGGTGCATGCAGTGTGTGTAGAACAGTGCCAGGCACGCAGTAAGTTCTCGCTGAGATTGGGCTGTTATCATTATCGTCTGAGGTGAGGCAATGAGGAGCCGTGGAAGTCATTAAGCAGGAAATTGGTCATCAGATCTGCATTGTATAAGGAAGCGGCTGGCTGTTTAGACTGGAGGCTCGGGGGAGACTGGGCTGCAAGCTGGGTTATGGGCAGCTCCAGCACGTGGATGTGAGATCCTGCGAGCAAATGAAGTCACGCAGGAAAGATGGTAGAGTTGAAGAGGGCCTGGGAAGGAACCCTGAAAGAGTACGATGTCCTGCCCACAGAAGGGGCAGGTGGAAGGAGAGGGGACGACACGAGAAGCAGCCAGAGACGTAGGAGGCCACACGAGGCCATGCAGCAGGTGTCCAGAGCGTCCGGCCGTGGCAGGCATGCAGAGCTGGCTGCACTGCTTCCTCTCATTCTCTGGTCATTTCATTAGTTGGATGCAAGGCCTGAGGGAATTTCCCTGCCCTGACCTCACTATCAGTCACTCTCTGGACAAGGGGATCTGTACCGTGGCCAGAAGAGGCTTTGGTCCTTTGCCTTCCTGACAAGTGGTATGGCAGCCCCTGACCTTCATGGCTGGGGGAGCTGGAGCTCACCCTCCACTGGGACCATGGACTAGAGGGGCGGCTGTGGCCTAGGAGTGAAAATAGGATGTGGGCACCACTGGGAAGGCTAGGTCTGCCTTGGGGGCAGTCGGAAGACCTCAGCTCTTACCCACTCCACCTGCCTCCTCCATTCCCTGCAGTCCATTGACCCTGGACAGCAGTTCACGTGGGAGAATTCAAACCTGGAGGTAAACAAGCCCAAGAACCGCTACGCAAATGTCATTGCCTACGACCACTCTCGTGTCATCCTTACCTCCATTGATGGTGAGCCAAGGGCGGGCCCCTCCCATCCCCTGCCCTCCTCCTGGCTGGCTGGGGTGACAGCTCACCCTACAGAAAAGGCCCTCGCGTCCTGGGGTGCACTGAGGTGTGGTGGGTGGGGATGGGGACCCTGGAATAATGCTCTCCCATGTCCTTTCCTGTCATAGGCGTTCCGGGCAGTGACTATATCAATGCCAACTACATTGATGGCTACCGCAAGCAGAATGCCTACATTGCCACGCAGGGCCCACTGCCTGAGACCATGGGCGATTTCTGGCGGATGGTGTGGGAACAGCGCACAGCCACTGTGGTCATGATGACTCGGCTGGAAGAGAAGTCCCGGGTAAGACTGCTGGGCTCTGCCAGGAGGTAGGGTGGGAAATAACCACCAGATGACTTTGGGCACCTTTTGCTGTCCCTGTGGGGATAAGTTCCCCAAGGGACATCCCAAGTGCTGTTGTTTTCCTGAGGTATTACCATGCTCCCCAGACACTGGTGGGTTCCTAGGATGTTAATATGTAGCACCAGATGCTACATTTTCTGGGAACGTTAATGTGTTCCCCAGTTGCTGGCATGTTCCCGGGATGTCCACATGTTCCCCAGATGCGGGAGTGTTCCTGGGGCATTAACACATCTTCTGAGTTAATTAGTGTGAAGAGCCGCTGTAATCTGCTTTTGCACTGCAAAGCATCGGCTGGAACGTAAAATTTACAGAGCTTGAAAATGGCACATAAACGTTATGGGTAAATTTGGCAGAAAATGTGCCTGGTGTGATCTGGTCATGAATAAATAAATTTCAATTACGGCCCTCATTCCCCCAGCGAGGGCAGGGGTGGCGACGTAGCGTGAGAACCTGATGTGGTTTGGTGAGGGGGTGGCTTGTATCCAGATCTGAGAGTTTGGGGCCAGGAGTGGCAAGGTGGGGCTTGTATCCAGATAGGCTAGACCTCCCCGCCTTGCTTCTGCCCCAGGGCCGCTGCCCCTCGGGGCCGTTCAGTACTTCCAAACACGCTTGCACCTGCCTTGCTCGTCTCTTTGCAGGTGAAGTGTGATCAGTACTGGCCAGTCCGTGGCACTGAAACCTACGGCCTCATTCAAGTGACTCTGCTGGACACGGTGGAGCTGGCCACGTACACTGTGCGCACCTTTGCACTCCACAAGGTACGGCCCTCCCTGGTGCTTGTGTGGGCGTGGTGTGCCCTGGTGTGGGCACGCGGGCTCAGAGGTGTGGGAGTGCACTGTGACGGCCAGCCGGGTCACTGCCCTGAGGCTGTAGCAGGAGACTTCTCTAGTCACAAGTCTCTCCCCACATCTTTCCCAGAGTGGCTCCAGTGAGAAGCGGGAGCTGCGTCAGTTCCAGTTTATGGCCTGGCCCGACCATGGGGTTCCTGAGTACCCGACCCCCATCCTGGCCTTCCTGCGGCGGGTCAAGGCCTGCAACCCGCTAGACGCAGGGCCCATGGTGGTGCACTGCAGGTGAGGGGTCGAGCACCACTGAAGGGGCAGGGTGGGAGGTAGGTGGGCCTCTGCCCTGAGCCAGGCTGGTGTCCTACAGCGCGGGCGTGGGCCGCACGGGCTGCTTCATCGTGATCGACGCCATGCTGGAGCGCATGAAGCACGAGAAGACGGTGGACATCTACGGCCACGTGACGTGCATGCGCTCGCAGCGCAACTACATGGTGCAGACAGAGGACCAGTACGTGTTCATCCACGAGGCACTGCTGGAGGCCGCCACGTGCGGGCACACGGAGGTGCCTGCCCGCAGCCTGTACGCCCACATCCAGAAGCTGGGCCAAGTGCCTCCTGGGGAGAGTGTGACCGCCATGGAGCTCGAGTTCAAGGTTGGCCGGGGGTTGGGCTTGGACTGGGTCATGGGATAAGTCCTGCAGGAAGCCAGGCCTGACCGGTTCCTCCCTCTTGCCAGTTGCTGGCCAGCTCCAAGGCCCACACATCCCGCTTCATCAGTGCCAACCTTCCCTGTAACAAGTTCAAGAACCGCCTGGTGAACATCATGCCCTACGAGTTGACCCGTGTGTGTCTGCAGCCCATCCGGGGTGTGGAGGGCTCCGACTACATCAATGCCAGCTTCCTGGATGGTTACAGGTCAGCATGCTTGTGTCTGCCCACCACACTCTGGGTACCTAGGTCTGTGCCTGGCTGGCTGGGGTACAACAGAGTAGGGCCAGCCCAGCAGGTTAGAGTGGGCTTCCTGGAGGAGAGGTGATCTGAGTGGGGTCCCAAGGGACCAGGCAGTCTTGGGGAGACTTGGGGAGCACAGCACCTCCAGCATGTCCAGTCTTATGTCCACCCCAGACAGCAGAAGGCCTACATAGCCACACAGGGGCCTCTGGCAGAGAGCACCGAGGACTTCTGGCGCATGCTCTGGGAGCACAACTCCACCATCATCGTCATGCTGACCAGGCTTCGGGAGATGGGCAGGGTGAGCCCACCCCCAGGGCCCTTCTGATACCTGGGAGCACACCAACCGCCCCCCACTCTTCTCTCCTTTCATACCCAGCCTCCCATCAGCACAGCCTCTGACCCTCCTCCCATATCACCACCTTAGGGGTCCTGCCTCAGAATCATCTGGTGGCGGGGCCCCCCTTATTTGTTCCTCCTTACCTGATCGTGGGGCCCGGGCCCTTTGTCCACAGGAGAAGTGCCACCAGTACTGGCCGGCAGAGCGCTCTGCTCGCTACCAGTACTTTGTTGTTGACCCGATGGCTGAGTACAACATGCCACAGTATATCCTGCGTGAGTTCAAGGTCACGGACGCCCGGGTGAGTTTGTATTTGCACGACAGCATGTCTGTAACTGCCTGAGCACACGTGGGCGGGGACCACCTGCACGGTGCCCTAGCTCCTGCTGCAGGAATCTGAGGCTCCAATGAGAATAGGCGGTGGGGGGGTCAGAGCACACCTCTCAAGGGGCTGACCTGTGTCACCGTGCTACCTCCTGGCCTGGTGGGGCTGCAGCCTGAGGCACTAACCTTGTTTTCCCCCTGCCTCTCCCAGGATGGGCAGTCGAGGACAATCCGGCAATTCCAGTTCACAGACTGGCCAGAGCAGGGTGTGCCCAAGACAGGGGAGGGCTTCATTGACTTCATTGGGCAGGTGCACAAGACCAAGGAGCAGTTTGGGCAGGATGGGCCCATCACGGTGCACTGCAGGTGGGGCTGGCCCCTGGAGGGCTGGGCGGGGGCAGCCTGCAGGCCTGGTGGACTGGACTCCTGACCCAATGCTGTCCCTGAGCAGTGCTGGTGTGGGCCGCACCGGGGTGTTCATCACTCTGAGCATAGTCCTGGAGCGAATGCGCTATGAGGGCGTGGTGGACATGTTCCAGACCGTGAAGACCCTGCGCACACAGCGCCCAGCCATGGTGCAGACAGAGGTACGTGGGCCGGGGCATGAGCGCACACTGCCAACACTGACCGCGGCCAGCTCTGCCGGGGGCTCGAGGGCAGGATGGGCGGCCCGTGCTCCTTCAGCAGCTCTGCACTGAGCAGCCGTGGTGCCCGGCGTCCACTGGGGATGGACAGAGCAGTTCGTGCGGGGTGTGCAGGGGCACTAGGTGGATGTGGGCAGTGGGAAAGGGGAGAGAGAGATGAGCCTTCAGAGATTCTTCCAGGCCCTCTGGACACTGCCTGGGGCAGATGTCTGCTCTAGCACCTGCTCCTGGCCAGCAGAGGCTAAGTCCATGGCCCACCAACTACAGTGTGAGTGCCCTTGGCAGTACATTGGGGTGCCTGCTGGCACTGCCCACACTGACTATACCCCTGTCCTGGCAGGACCAGTACCAGCTGTGCTACCGCGCAGCCTTGGAGTACCTCGGCAGCTTTGACCACTATGCAACGTAACTACCGCCCCCTCTCCTTCGCCGCCCCTGCCTTGGGGCTCCGGAGGGGACCCAGCTCCTCTGAGCCATACCGACCATCGTCCAGCCCTCCTGCACGGATGCCGTTGCTGGCAGAGCACAGCCCACTGGGATCACAGCGTTTCAGGAACATTGCCACACCCAACAGAGAGCCCAGAATCCCCCCGGCAACTGGGTGAGCCGGCAGGCAGGCGCTGCGGCCCATCTACCCACCAGGCCCGCCCGGAGCCCACTCCACACTCTGTTCTGCTGTCGCATTTCTCATGCTTCTTCTCATGGGGTGGGGATGGGGCAAAGCCTCCTTTTTATACATTAAGTGGAGTAGACTGAGGGATTCTAGCCTCCTCCCTCTGCTTTTCCTTTTGCAAATTCTTAAACTGCAGAATGGGCTGCTGTGGGGGTTGGGGTGTAGTCTGTTTTTTTAGTTCACTTGGATCCTTTTTTGTATAACTTTCACTGCTGGAGGATGGACATGCCTTCCCGTGTGTGGATCTGGGGCGCCAGCCTAAGCGGGGGCCTCACGGGGCCGCTGCTCTTCCAGGCCCTCAGACAAGATCCTGTTTCAGCCAAATGCAGGGAACACTTTTTTTTTTTCTAAGTTTCGTTTTGTTTTTCCTTAAGAGCCTTATTTTAGGCCCCACAGACAGTGGTGGGCGGGAGGAGAGAGGAAACACTCAGCCCAGTGTCTATTCCAGTGTGTGTTTAACATTCACAGCCCAGAACCACAGCCGTGTCTGGGGGAGCCTGGCAAGGTGTTCCTCATCACCATCGTGTTTGCAAAGGTTAAAAAAAGCAACAACAAAAAACAAAAACAAACAATCCAAAAAAAGAAAAAAAAGAAAAAAAAAGTCATTTCCTGGCCTCTGCTTCAAACCCCTGAGAGGGGAGGCGGTTCCGTGCACCTGGGGCTCCCCGGGGAACTGCCAGGCTGACCTCTGGACCCACAGAGGCTGGCTGTTGTCCCCAGCTGGTGGTGTGGCGGTGGGTGTGGCCGTGTGGCTGAGGCAGTCGGCAAAGGTCAGGGTGTGTGCCACACCCTGCACACCTCAGGGCCAAGCAGGGGCACGGCTGGCCCTTCAGGTCTGGGCCAGTGGGCCCGGTAGCACATGTCTGTTCTCAGAGAAGGGGCCAGATGATGTTCCTCCCTGGTTTGCAGCTATTTTCAAAGCCCATGAGAATTGCTCTTTCCCACTCTTTCAAGATGCCCTTATAAACCAATGTGGCAAGACTACTGGACTTCTCTCAATGGTACTATAATCAATCCTTACAATCTTGGCTTGCTGAGGGGCAGGGAGAGGGCCTCTTCCTCTGGGCAGCACTATCTAGGTAGGTAAGTGGGGGCGGGGAAGGGTGCATAGCTGTTTTAGCCGAGGGGCGTGAGGCAGACGTCCCAAGATCTAGCTAGGCTCGTCAAGATCAACAATCCAGGGTTGGTAACATTTGGATGCGACATTCATTTTTACCTTGTGGATGCTAGTGCTGTAGAGTTCACTGTTGTACACAGTCTGTTTTCTATTTGTTAAGAAAACTACAGCATCATTGCATAATTCTTGATGGTAATAAATTTGAATAATCAGATTTCTTACAAACCGGGCCTCTGTCTCCGCTCTTTCTGGAACCAGAGTCTGGGCTCTGGAAGTCAATATCTGGGAGTAGGATCTGGCGATTTCCTGTTGCTGAGGAGATAGGGAGGCTGTCCTGAGTGTTGGTGATGCTATAGGCCCTCAGCATGGTGCTCACTCTCAGGAAGGAGAGGTGGCAGACCCCACAGACGGAGCCACTGGTGTGTGGAAAGAGCACCCCACTTCGGATCATCTCCAGCAGCAAGCACGCGTACCCTTAGGATATTCTGGGTCCCCATGTCAGAAGTGCTGAGACTCCCTGTCCAGGAGCCACACTGCCCTCCCATTACCTGCCTGTCCTCTTCCACGCCTGCCACTGTGGTGTGGAGGCTGTGACAGCATGGAACTTGACCAGTGAGGATGCTTGTAATTCTGGCGATGTGTATGCTGGACGTGGTGTGGCCTGGCTCCTGGACACAGCAGTAGTCCCTCGTTGAGCCCTGTGGCCTCCCCACTAGTGAGTGATCAGGCAAGTCCTACCATATTGTCAAACCATGAAACTTCTGGGGACACAGATGAATGAGACCCAGAACAGGTGGGGAGAGAAATACATAAATTGGCCATGATCAGACTGTAGAAAGTCATAAGCCCACCACAGAGGGGCTGTGGGTGCACTGAGGCAGCACCTGACCCTGCGGAGGGGTCCAGGAAGGCTTCCTGGAGGAGGTGATGCAAGCTGGATTCTGAGTGTTCCATGAGGTGAGTAGTGGTTGACCTTAATTACTTTTTTTTCCCACCATTATAAGTCACCATTTATTCCCCCTTTACCCTCTTCTACCTCCCCTACCCACCCTCCCTTTCCCTCTGGTAATCATTGTATTGTTGTCTGTGTCTATCAGGGTTTTTTTCCTTAGCTTAATCTAACTTTCACCTTTTTTACCCAGCCTCCCACCCCTCTGAGAACTGCCAGTCTGTTCTCTGTATCCATTAATCTGTTTCTATTTGTTTGTTTTTGTTCATTAGATTCCACATGTAAGTGAAGTCATATGGTGCTTGTCTCCCTGACTGACTGGCTTATTTCACTTAGCACCCCGTCAGGGACATGTAATCCTCACAGCACAGTGCAGGGTGGGTCCTGTCACGCTCCTTTTGTAGATGAGAAAACTAGGTCTCCTGTACTCATTCAACACGTACTTAGTGAGCACGTGCTAGTCATATCCGTGAATTGAGCAAAGACTACTGCCCTCGTGGCCTTTGTACCCCAGGAAGATGAAACAATGCATATGAAAAATAGTAAGTTTGTTAGAAAGTAAGAAGTGCTGGGGGTGGGGGTGGGGTGGATTCTGAAGAATCTGGCACATGCGGAAGGTTTGATTATTAGGGTGGTCAAAGGAAGCCTCATTGAAAAGGGGATTTGAGGAAAGGCTTGAGCTGGTGAGAGATTTTGCCTAAACATCTTCACAAGGAGTATCCAAGCCAAGGGAGCAGCTGGAGCGCAGGACCTCCCTGGGCGGGACTGTGCCTGGTGTTTGGGGCTGGCGTAGCTGTGGCGCCACGAGCAGGGGGTGACAGTAGTGGGGGATAGAGTCAGAGAGGAAAGGGGAGGACTAGGGGAAGACTTCGGCAGGAATCTGGGTGTGGCAAGAAGTAGCCAGATACTGGTTATATCTTGGAGGTGGAGCTAAGGGTTTGCTTATGGAGCGGACGAGAGAAAGGAGTCAAGGTTGACCCCGTAGTTCTGGCCTGAGCAACTGGAAGGATGAGGTGGCCATTTGTGCAGCTAGGGAGGGCTGCTCAAGGCTACCCCTGGAGTGTGGTGGAGTTGCCAGGGCTCATTCCACACTGCTGCCTGCCTCCAGCTGGAAATGGAGTCAGGTGTGTGGAGAAAAACGTTTGGAAGGAAATACACCAAGAGTTGTGAGGTGGGGTGATTTCTTCATAAATTTCCAAATATTCTGTAAAGAATTAACAGCACTTTTTAAAAAAGTATGAATAGCACTTTAATTTCTAAAAAGACATACTAAAAACTATACAATGGTTCGAAAACAAAAATCTTTCAAACAGGATGGAAGTTGTAAAACAATGAAGTCCCCATTCTTTCCCTGTCCCCAGCTCCCTGGAGGGAGTCACAGTTCAGTCTATATCCTTCTGAGCATTTTCTATGAATATACAAGTGTGTGTATAAACTTTATTTTTTATATGAGAGTCATGCTACTCATATCTTTCTGCAAATTGCCCTTTTCATTTAAGTACATTGTGAATTTCTGTCCATGTCAGTGCCTCATTTTTTAAGCTGCTACATACTTTTCTGTTACAGATATGCCATAATTTTTTTAATATATGTTTTTATTGATTTTAGTGACAGGAAGGGAGAAGGAGAAAAACATCAATGGGCTGCCTCCTGCACGCCCCCTACTGGGAAGCAAGCGGGAAAATCGAGCACGTGCCCTGACGGGGCATCAACCTGTGATCTCTCAGTACATGGGACGACACTCAACCAGCTGAGCCACACTGGCCAGGACCCATAATTTTTGAAAATTGTTATCATTATAGCTTTTTTATTTAAAAAATAGATGTACATGATAAAACATAAAAAGAATTCAGTCTTGAAGTGTTAGCTTTCCTTTGTCCTCTCTCCAACTCCAGTTTCATTTCCTGAAGCTTCTGGCTTTAATTCTTTGTGTAGTGAGCATCCTGTCTTCAGTGGGTGACACTTTCAGTAGATGGTACCTACTGACTCCACAATAAAATGTGAGATTTAATTAACTTATTAGATCTCCCACCTGTACCTCCTGATTTTGTTAGATATATTATTTCAATTCTTCCAGAGCTCCCTCATGACTTGAAACAATATATTTAAACATCCGTTTCGTAATTTATCACCTGAGGCAGTATCTATTGATTACCTTCTATGAAGAATTAGGAAATTAGCTTACTCTCCTTGATCCCCCCTCCTACCTCCTCCAACTACCTTTTTTTTTCTCACATTGTCAGGGTTTATAATACTTTCTGTTTCTGTAATTAAGTCTTTCATTCAAAAAATTGAAAACCAATAAACAGCATTTTAATTGCATGTTTATGAAAATCTTTCAAGCATTAATTTCAAATAAGTCTTGCAATTTTTTCTTCCTTCCCGTAACTGCTGGACCACACTGAGCTGCCAGTTCTGGTGTAGCCTATTCACCGTTTTATTTGGTGAAGTACTGTACTCCCTTGTGCATTTTCTTCACATGGAATTATAAAGTTTCTGATTCTTGTAGGTTTGAACATCTCTTTTTTTTATACTTGGTTTAATTTGGCCATCTTTTTTTTTTTTTTTTTTTAATTCCCCAGAAACTGTTAAAGATATTGTGTCTGTTTCTGTATGAACCCAATGTTGAAGAAGGAGGGTTGTATGGCAACTGTTGAGGCTTTGCTGGTGGGTTTCTCTATCAAATTACCCTGACGTTTGCCCCGTCATCCACTTTGATTTTTTTATCTGTAGAAACCTGTCCAGGCTTCTTCTGGGGAGAATGAGCCTTGACTCGGGCATCTTGGACTGTGGTTTTCTCAGCTGTTTTCTTTGTCAATCTGGTTTCACTGTTTACTATCTTTTGGAATTCTTATTTTTAAAAAATATTCTAGTGTATGAGTAACGCATCTGAATTGTCCCTCCCCCCCCAAGAAAAAGATTTTTTAATTGATATTTAGAGAGAGAAAGAAACATTGATCAGCTGCCTCCTGCACACCCCCTACCCAGGATTGAGCCCTCAACCTGGGCATGTGCCCAGACTAGGAATTGAAACTGCACCTTTCAGTGCAAGGGACAATGCTCAACCAAGCCACACCGGCCAGGGCTCCCTAAGATTATTTTAGATCACCATGCACTGATTTGTAATGACTTCTTTTTAAAAACACATATGCAGTTGTTATAAGCACAGAGTGCACTTCTGTGCTCCGAGTCTGTGTCATTCATCTGTCTGTCATGTCTAAGCCAGAACTTCTCATCTCATTTTCGTGGTTTTACTACCTGACACAGCTAGTCCCCCGTCATTATCTTTTTAGTTTTTCAAAATTAATTGGTGCAGATCCCCTGATTTTCTTCCAAATGGACATTAGATTAATTTGGGAAGATTCCCCTCCTTCAATTTTGGTTACAGATGTTATTGTTACTCAATAAAGTGGACAATAACATATCTGAAAATGTGTCAATATAAAGAAAAGCTGGTTGGAGTCTACAGGAAGCCTTGGCATCAAAGTTCGCTGTGCTCATCGAGCCCTGCTGGAGGGGCGGAGATGCTGGCGGGAGAGGGCAGCCATCCCAGCTTCCAGCATGAGCGCCGTAGCACAGGGATGCTGGGTGCAGCCTTCAGCACCCTCAGGATAACAGTGGGACTCAAGCTCCTCGTGCTCTTCTATGACACTTGACCCACCCCTCTTTAAACATTTTCTCCCAGCCTTATCTAAATATTTGCCTTTTCTTTTTTCTTTTTTGATACATGCCCTTAGCGGGAACTGCACCCGGGACTCTGGTCCGCAGGCCGACGCTCCAACCGCTGAGCCAAACTGGCCCGGGCTATACTTGCCTTTTCTTAAGCACACCATGCTTAATGTGTAAAAAGCAAAGTGTTAAATCCCTAATAGATAGATTTTCTTTCAAATCAGAACAAAAGTAATACCCTAATAGAAAAATGGGTATGGACACAAATAGGCAATGCACAAAAACTACACAAGTTTCATGAAAATACGGAAGATACAGGGCCTATTTTTCTTTTTGTTTTTTTCTCTTTCATTTTTTTATTTTCTTTCTTTTTCCTTTTTGTTGTGTTGTTTGTACAGAGCCTCACTATTAATCAAAGAAAGGTACACTAGAAAAGAAGATCAGGCGCTATTCTTTGTCCTGTTGGCAATAGTTATGTGTTAATATTGGGGTGAGGAATTGGGCACTCATAGTGCTGGTGGGGATCAATGCTGGTTGTCTTTGTGGAGGAGAAATTGCAGTATCTACCAAAAGTCTTAAAATATGCTTTGCCTTTGACCCAGTGATA